GAAGATTATCCATAAAAGGTTCATTTCATGATCGGTTAATTTTTTCCCTTTTCCTCAACTGTTTGCTGGTTAAATTGGTGTTTATCTATTCAAATGTGAATAACATGAGCTTCAGTTTTAGCCTTAAATTCATAAATTATCATAAGTTTGTAAAACTTATGTATTCTCATCATTAGACTGATGATGAGAAAAGTTTACTTAACTCTCTTTTCAAGCAAAAACGTTTACAATATCAACTGTTTACTCTGTATTATTTGAAAAGTTAAAGGTTAATTGAGTTAAACTGTAACTTTTTCCTGTTTGGTTACCGCTAATCAACTTGATGTATTAGGATTTATAAAGCGATATTTGTTAACTCTTCTTCATAATGCACTTTACAATCGCATTTTGCATTATAATTGACTCTAATCGTAATTGCACTGCAAAAGCTCGTTGGATTCAACTTACATTGCAAGTTCATTTAAGTTGTGGACATGTCTGTCAATATTTTCAGCATTAATCAAGGTAAAAGAAACAAATTATCGACCTTTACTTTTCTTTGACCAAGGTTATTGTTCAAGTGAAAAACAGTGGACAAGTTTAGCAAAAGATCAATGGATGTTTCCTTTTTTAGTAAATTGTGTTTGAACAATAAACCTTTTCTTACTTTCACTTTGATTAAAATCGCAGTTAGACTCTGAAAGACAAATATTAAGTGATATTCAAGCTAAAAACTAGATGATATCAACTGAACATAATCATCGATATTTGAATATTGATATAGCAAATTTTATCGACCAATTCGTCCATCAATCAACCTGAACTGCTTAAAGTAGTCAATTACTATGTTTATTAGCTTTTGATTGTCTTCAGTCTGGTAAACTTTTGCAATAGAAGTCCTTCTTTTTTGGACAGAGTACATAGAGTAACTTAAAGCTCTAAGGACTGCTATCAATGTTAGAGGAACCACCGTTAAACTGTGCAATTTGTTTCCTGGACTGACGACTTGAGGCCATCAAAATGAAAACTTTTGCATGTTATTTACATCTGAAATCGTTAGTTAACACTTTTATTAAAAATATAACTTATTTCTCTTTAATATCATTCAAAACTTATGCAAAAGGTTGATCGAAGATGCAATCTGATTAAACTGACAGTTTAATGGATCTTTCAAAGTGAATGGACAGATATGAATCTTAACAGGATAAAACATCTAAAAGTTGAAGATCAACAAGATACATTTTTATTTGTGTAGCTTTTCAACTAGAATGCTTATAATGATCAACGAAAAGTAAACGAAGTCAAGCATTTCAGAATCGAGTGAAATAGTTTTTGTAACTTAACTGCATCACTAACTGTATCACTCGAAATATTCACATATTTATGATGATTTATTGATGAAAATCGGAAATGAATTGTAAACAATCTTCTGTTCATTTTACATTTTTGCTTTAAAACGATTCCTATTAACTATTTTTGACCTGCAAATGAAAAACAAAACTCGTGTAAAGTTTTGAAAGAGTATTGTTACAAGATTCCATTTACTCTTCATGGAACTAGTTTACTTCATTCCAAGTTCATTATCATGAGAGTACAGAAATAACCTTTAGGTTACATAAATAGTTTGAATCAGAAGCGATTCTTTTCTTTTTACCTGCAAAAATATTGAATTTCCATTGTTTTCCAGTTCAATTTTATTTCCAATTATTGAAGATAACTTGAACAATATGCTTTAAAACTGTTTTCCCTTCAATTTATCCAAACTCTCTGTGAATGTCAATTGAAAAGCTTTACCTTTACAAGGTTAATCCAAGCACACATTCAAGTTGAATGAGGTTAAATCAATCGTTTGACTTGAAGAATGACCATGAAATGTAGACACTGAAAGTTCTAAATCAACAGTAAAAACAAAAAGTCAAAAGGATAAATGAACAAGATAAATTCTGAAATCTGTAACCGTGAAACTGGCGAGAAACAAAACAACAAATTGATAAACATGGAATCGTTGTTAACTTTGAAAGAAACAAAAATAAAGAATCAAAATTTTCAAGTTTAGCTCTTCAGTTGGAATAAAATTTGTGCCAATTTCTGCATCACATTATTTCCATTTTCACATTTTTCACACCTGAAAGGTTCACCACTGAATACACAAGTAAACATGAAATGATCAATCCATTATCGTAACACTGGAAAACTTTCAAGAAGCAAGTTGCCAATCAGAGGAAAAGACAGCAAGAAAAGAAAAAGAAAACTTGAAAAGTCGAAATACATTCACAAAGAATCAGAAAAAAGTCCAAGCCTCACTGGGAGTTATCACTATCAATGAACCAACTTTATCAACTCGTAAACATTATCTATTTTTGTTTGCTTTGCTCATCATCATTATTAGCATCAAATATTTTCATCAAATATTCGGATAAAAAGATAGTCCAAGATTCGAGAACTGTTGAATTTCAGATAAGGTTAAAAGTTAACAGTGTAACCATTAGGATTGATGAAATTGTAATGATGAACCAAATGTATTTCAGTGAACAATTTTTTGCTTTTCCTTTTTTCTCTCATTTGAATTATCTTTATCGTTCTACTGATGATATTATTATGAAAATTGGTCAAAGTGTCTTCAGCATATTCAGCCAGTTATCGAAATTGTTTACCTCTTATTTGTATAAAAAGGTAAATGATATTTTCTGTTCATCTTTTTGCACTTATTTACCATTTCCTTCTTCCTTCTTATATTCACAATTGGATTAACATCAATTTTCAAATTTTGTTGACCCTTTGGATATATTTGAATAAAATGGCAAATTTCATTCCATTATATTGATGGATTTATCAAGATCATTTGTTGACTATAGAGATAATCATGAACAGCATTTGAAAGTTTTGTGAAATGAAAAGATTTTGAAAACTTTTAGATTGAGCAATTCGAAGCAAAAAATCAGATGAACTTGTTTTCCGAGTTAAAAATACTTTCAAGCTCAACATCCAATTCCGTGTTGTCAATCAAAGTTATCAATATTCGTTTTGAATGTACAATTATTGAGTTTTGATATCGTTTTAGTTCAACCTTAACCTTGCAATAAACTTAAAAATGGTTGAAACCATTAAATTTAGAGCATTTTTGACGACTCAATGTTTCAGTTTTGTCCTAATTGTTAGGTTAAGTTTGCTTCGAGTGTTTACTACACAGAACTTAAGTGTTTAACTGAACTTCACAAACAGGACAATGTTTTGAGCTCGAAATTGATACGAAATCTACATTTATGATTGACCCACCCAGCAAACCGAGTTTAGATAATGTTGCTCCATAATCAGGTTAGTTCTCGAAGATATCTACACTTTAAGATCACGATTTTTTGTGGTTTCAATTTGAGAATTCTTTCCTTACTTGGTGCTAAACTTTTGCTTTTTACTTCAAAAGATTTCCCTTTGTAAGTCGATCAAAACGTTGGAGAGTTTTCTTGAAACTTCAATCGCTGAATGCTTTATAAACCGTTTGCTTTTGATTAGGAACGCAGCAACTTAAACAGTTTGAAGCAACTTTTTTGTTTGAAATATAAAATTAAATTCTTCCATTAAAATGCTGAGCACTTTTAATTTTACTCTCATTTATTCACTTTCGTTGTTCAATTCGAATGGACATTCTATTCTTGGTTTGCTTTCAAAACCTAAAACTTAAGGTTGGACAGAATTGCTTTTTAAGCGAATTTAAAGTTAAACATTTCCCTGCAAGAGTAGATCAAGCTCAAGCTCGAACTGCAAATTTGTCCAATCTTACGAATTGTAGGTTAAATTCAATTTTACTTTGTATAATTTTCTTCATCATTTCTTCTTCGGAGTGACCAACAAAATTTCAATTTCTGTCAATTCGTCCTTTTCTTTTGACCTTAAGATTACTTGCAAATAAATGGCTGGTTAATTGATCAATTGTATTCAACTGATCATGATTAATCATTCATTGAATTTGTTGATGAAAGCAAAATTGGCTTTTCTAATCAAAATTGATCAATACTTAATAAAACCTTTGGGAGTTGAAATGAACAATTGAAAAACATTTTTCTTTTTTTCTCATGTTCGTCTTTAATAAATAACCTAATCAATCATGTAACATTCATCACGGCGTATGAGTGCATCAACGATGATAATAACAAACTGAAGATAAATATTAGTTGAGAATATAAATAAAGAAGAAAAAAAGAAACAAAATTGTTTATTCCAAATTAAATGTTAATACAACTTTAGCCTGTAGCCAGAGAAGCGTCATGATAGCATTTTAATGATGATAACGATGATAATAATACTTATACTTATCGTTATTCTTGTTATTCTTGGCATTTTCATTCCCTACTTTTTTGCACCTTTTGTTCATTTTCTTTGAAAATAAAATAATTTCTTTGCTCAAAGAAATGAACAAGAAAAGGTTAAAAATCACGAAAAAAGACGATTATGTTGACATGAAAAGGTAGTCATTTCAACATTGTTATTAACATTATTAATAATGTTTGCTGTATCATGAAAATGAGAAAGCCTGAGATTAGAGGAGAAAATAAGTTTCAATGATTGATTTAAATTTGAGAAAATTTGAACTTCTCTTTCAATGATACTTTACTTTTTGATTAATATTTTTCTTCTTCTTCTTCAATGAAAAGTTTTACTTGGAAAGAAGATTCACATTTTTCTTATAATAAATGACAATAAGACTTGATAATGAAGTTGATAAATTGAACTATTCATAAGTCAAAAGTCCATGAATTTCAATCTTTTCTCGTTTTTTGTCTGATTTAAAATTCCCTTTCAATAAGTCTCTTGTTGATTCTGTAATAACACTTCAAACTGAGACGAAAATTTGTTGATTTTCACTTTCTTTTTCATTGAAATCTTCAGCCAAGAACTGTTCATGGACAGAATAAAGGAAGGCGAATAAAAAAGGAAAATGAACGCTTATTGATTCAACACATTTTGTCAACAAAAGTGTCATTTGGAATTCAGTTTTTTGTTTCTTTTTACGCTACTGAACTTACCTTTATCAGATTTCCTTTGATTTGTTCAAATCCAACAGTTTGAAATTAGAATATGAATAAACTGAGAAAGTTGATGATGCCGTTGAGTTGATTTGGTTCACAAAGTTTTTCTGTTCTAACTGTTCGATGCACAAGATCACGTTTGGAATTGTTGAATCAACGAAATGCTGAAACGTTTTATGAAATTTTCTCGATGTTTTTTTCAGTCTTTTTTCGATGATTTTGAGGTTACATGAGTGTGAAAGAAAATTGATTGCAATTGCAAAACTTTTTAATTATTGAATCAAAAAATTGATTGAACAATGAAGCTTGAAATGAAAGCGAAACTTCGTCAAGTGCAAAAATACAAGTGAAATGTTTGTGAAAATTTCGTTGCAAATGTTGTTATTTTTTCTTCTCTCTTATCCTGAAAAACTGAATTCAACATGCGCATAATTTGATAACAATTGGTGTCTGAATGAAATGTTTTTTTCACTGTCAATACTTCATCATGACTCAACTTGAAATGATATTTTTCTCTACTTTGGTTTCATCAAATTTCACCCAATTTCAGTCTCATTTTTTGGGTTTTCAATCTTTTTTTTCTTATCCAAAAATCAAGTTTAATCTTTCGTCTGGCCTTTCGGTTTGCGTTTCTTTAAAATGAACCGTTTTACTTTTCATCTCTGGTTTAAGCGGCAATAAAGGACTCATTTCTTTGGGAATACATTTCATGATTGTTTATTTGAAAGCGTGAAAGGTCAAATATTACAATGAGAAGCAAACAAATGGAGTTATAAATAATGTGAATGAAGCACCTTTGGGAATGAATAAATCTCACTCCCAGTTTGACGTATGTAGGAGTTGGATGAGGCTCTGCTTTCTTTGGCGAGGGTTTGTATTGTTAGTTACCTGTCATAAGTTGCCGATTAAATGTTAAACAATATTTTAATCTGAAAGTTTTACTTTCCATTTATAGGTAGTCAATAGTAAAGAGTTGCTCAAATGTCTGATTGTTTCGTTACGTTTTCTGCTCTTTTTGATCATTTCATTTTGGTCATTATACAAACAACAGTATGAATGCTCAAAAAATGATGTTGAATTCATTATACAAAACAGTTAGTGTAGAAAACCTCAAACAACAAGGAAAGTGGCCTTACTGGTACAATTTGATTCGGAAAATTTCATGATAGATCAATAGAAATAAGTTAAAAAAGTGTTAGGACCTGCAAATTTTCGATCCAATCTTTATTCAATTTTGCGTCGAACCTATTGTTATGAATTGAAAACGATATCGTTTTAAAAATGCAATAATATGTCGATTTTTGATTTTTCGCATTAGATTTTCTTCTAATTTATAGATTTAATTTAATTTTAATTTGAAAAACGAAAAAAAAACCTTATACTTTAATTTGTTACTATGATTGTAGTTTTCTAAGCAACAACGCTTAGGACAAAGCTAAAGCCGATTTTCAAAAAAAGTTTTTGAAAAGTCTTTTAGGGTTAAACATGGTGTGTCTACGCTAAATCGGAAAATCTTGACTCTTACATGTTAATTTTTCCGTAGGTTTCTGAAAATGTTTGACTCTTTTTAAAAAACGATCCGCGTGCTATTTATGCGTCCCAAAACTCACCAAATGAAAGATATTAGACTGAATTTTTTTATATAAAAAAGACTGTAAGGGGTTAACATTCCACTAGTCTCTCTTTATTTACAGTTTGGAATTCAATGTCTATGCCCTTAGTTGAATCTTACATTTTTTACTCCTCTTCCTTTTGTTTAATATTGTGATGGTTATTTATCAAGATCGTTAAAGATATTATAGATAATTATTGGCCTCTAAAGTGCTGATAAGAATTTGGGTACTTTGTTCGATCTTGATAATTTTGGCCACTCGAGTGGTTGTACTTGACCAAGCTATTTGTTAAAGTACTGATAAGGTCAGCCTTCAACATAGTTGTTGCTTTTCTGGTTAAAAACCCGACAAAGGCCCTTATAATAGACATCGTTATCGTCCTAATCTAAAATGTATATAAAAGCTCCGTCTTCTAATCTGGCCAGCCTAATTGACAACATTAAATTCTATTTTATCAAAAATTTAATTGGTCCTCACAATTTGGAGGTTCCACCGAGAGAATTTATTCATCATTTCATCTATTAGCTCTCGCAATATTGTAATGAGATTGTCTAATGAGATGATATGTGGCCACTGAAGTGGCTGTTCCTACGAAACAATCAGGAGGGAGAGAATAAGGTTCTCTCATGCAGTTTGTTCAGGGCTTGCACCCATGCTTCTAGCAGTCATAAGATGGTTATCCTAGCTCTCGTTATTGCGTTCGCGTTGCAACTGTGATTTGACAGGATTTTGCTTTCCCAACGAATTGAATTCATCTTTATTGTAATCATTTGATTAACGCTTGTGAGCAATGCTGACAATTAGTATTTCTTACTTGTGCTAATAAAAGTATTCTCAGTAGATTTTAATTGTGATAATTATTTAGATCTTAACCATCCCTTTGTAAACGCTACAACCTTTGACATCCCGTAGTGCCATACAATAATTTAACCACGTATTGATTAATAGTGTTGATTATAACTTAAGTTATTGAGAAACTGATCTCAGTTTTAATCTTTTCCCCACCCCTTAAGAGACCTTACAAATCTAATTCAAAATCTGACATGATATTAGATTTTGAAGTCAGTATCATCTTTTTCTTAACTCTTACCATATGAAAAGCGCTCATATTGGTGCAGATTCCAGAGTCAAAACTCATCGAAAACTAAAAAAGTTAAATGACATTCTAAGAATCTTATTAAAAATCATGGCCATAAAATAAGATATCGTTGAAACACGAGTATTTGTCGTTCCTTGATATTTTCTTCAAAAAAATCATTGCATTTTGACCAGCGTTTCAGAAGTTATTCAAATTTCAATTTAGTTTCATTTTTTATTCATCAGCTCTTATTAGCTAAGAATTCGTTTGAAGTTTTTTTCCAAATCAGTTCCTATCAAAGTTAATATTTTGATAACTTTTACTTTAAATTTAGCCAATCCAATTGAAAATGAATAAATAAATCATTTACATTTAAACTCGATATTGATGCAAAAAGTCAAGTTAAATGGACCAATAATAAAGTGAAATGTCACTTGAAAAGTCGAACTCTTTTTGAATCGTTTACCTTGTTGAACGTTTTTCAATTTCAATAACTTGAATGTTTCATTGAAATAATTTCTCAATTTGTTTCACTTTTATATTTGCCAAAGTTTCAACAAAACTTTTTTTTTCCTTGAAACAAGTTTATGCACCTAATTACCATCAATTTACCATGAAATTGTGAACCAAAATTTTACTCAGTTTAATCATGAAGAACAAAACAGTTTACAATTAGCCAAATTGGGTTGAATTGTTGAAAGAAAGGAAACTGAAAATTTTCCAAAAAATAAACTTGAACATAATCTGAATAAGTAGTCTAATAAAGATACTGAGTTTATCATTAGCAAAAAAAACTTCTTAATAACATTGTTAATTTTGTCAAAGGATATTCGTGATTCGAATAATGATTATGATAATTCAATTTAAAGTAATAAATTGATTGAAGATGATGATGAAAATGAAGTGGTTGATGTTATTTTCACATTGATGTACTTTCTCGAGAATAAAATGTGCACAGAATGAATTTTCAATCAAATTTGTAGCACTTTAAGATTATGATCATGATCATGATCCTAGCATTTTGCCAACTTTTTGTCTGCAACAAAATGGTTCAAAGAGTCAAATTTTTAGACTTGAACATCAGCCTAAAGTTGAACCGTGAAAATAGACTCAAAGAGCCACGAGTTGAAGCAGACTATTAACTTGCTGATTAACCTGGAGCTTGCCTGGTTAAGGGTCACGTTTGTGGAAACATTTGCTAGTCCAAAAGTCACCATTCATTGTATAACTTGAAACACAAAAATGAAATAATTTTCACAAATTGAATCCAAAAAAATTACATTTTAATATTTTCTTTTTTTGGCATTTCGTCGGAAATAAATTGAACGATTTAAACGAGAAAAGAAAAAAAATTGTTTAATTTTCTCTTCTTCAAGTGTAGAGACAAAAGGATTTTTTAGACATTTTCAACTTTTCGTTTTCCATGTTTACAGGTAAACTTGTCCTGTTATCCTCTACTGGCATAGAATCGTGCTCGTCCTTGGAATTGTTCATGATAAAAGAAACCGAGAAAATGGTTAGCGAATTAAATTGTTGTCAATAAATTTTGATTAGTAAAAATTTAAATATTAAAATGAGAGGAAAAAAAGTTTGCCTCCAAGTTTTTCTCTCAACTTATTTTTTTCTTTTTCCTTTTTTCAGGATAAAATAAAGATTATCACTGAAATTGAATAAGAAATGATAACAATGGGAATATTTTTTAATGTTTGCTAAATTATGCAAGTTGTTTAATATTGCAGTTTTATCTTTAGTTTTGCTGTTTGCAGGTTAAATGTCTTTGGGTGAAGCAAAAGGTAAACTCAATTTTTTGGATGCTTTTCAGTTAACTATCATGAAATGGTCTGAATGAAGAGAACACAGAAAATCTTGCGAATTTCAGTTACCTTTTCAAACATGCAAAGGTGGAAATGATTTTCTTTGGAAATTCTTACTTCTTCGAAGTGCATGCCTTTTACCTAGCATAGCAGCAAAATTGAGTCGCAAGTTAAATATCTTTGGATAAAGGTAAACTTTTGGATTCTGCAGTTAACTATCATCATCATGAAAATGGACTGAGAAAATATTGTGATTTTTCTAAGGCTTTTTCTTCTGCTTAACCTTTCCAAACATATAAAGGTGGGAATGAGTTTCTTTGGACATTCTTACCTCTTCGAAGTGCATACCTTTTACCTAGCATAGCAGCAAAAGGTCGAGCTCGTTTGACAATCAAATTATCATTTGTACGATTCCAATGATAAATACCAAAAGAATTTCTGAAATTGACAAAAATAAGAATAAATGTCGAGCTTGCTGATGGAAAATTCATAATAATCAAGTTTTCTAATCGAAAATTTAACCAAAAAAGTTCCATGTTAATGAATGAAGAAAAAGTTGACAGAAAATCTTCTTCCTCCAAATTTTCTATTCTTGTTGCAATTGAACTTTTCAATTATTTAAACGAATAAAATGTTGAAATGTTCAACTTAATGATTATAAAATTGTGATAAGTTGATCAAAATGTTTACCTTAAAGTATATGGTGATGAAGGTAAAGGTAAGTTTACCTTTTTTCCTCTCATTCCATTGAAAGCAGACCTTCTCCTGATCCAGTCATTTAGATGTTGATCCAATTGAATAAATTTTCTTTTCCCAGGTAAATCAATGAGATTGTTTCCATTCTCAGGTGAATAAGTAGACTCTCTAATTCCGTATAAATCGTAAAAATTATTTTCTTTAACATTATTTGAATAGATATTGTTTTTCTTATTGAACTTTGGTGAAGTTGATAATGGAATAATTGATCTTTGATTATCCAAAAAGTAGCTTAAACTTGATGTAGCGTAATGTTTACCAATTTCATTTGATTTAATTTCATGTGAATCGAGAATCTAATTTTTAATCAAAAAAAAGAAGAAGAGCAAAAATTATTGAATCTCATTTTGCGAAATTTGCATTCATTTCATTTAATCAATTGTCTTATAACCAGCCAAGTGTTGCCGTCTAATAAATTCATTTGATTAACCTCATTATGTGTGTAAATCGTCAACGAAACAGCAACGAAGTTCATCATTTTTTGATATTTTGTTGAAACTTGATTGAATTTTTTTAAGAAACTATTTTTGTTCTTTAATTTATTTTCTCTCTTTTTACTTCAATGTTTATTGAAATGATCAACTTGTTATTGTTCATTCGAGAGGATAACTTTGTGATTGTACAATTAGGTGCAAAAATGTTCAATTTGTTCAACTTTTTCTTTTCTTCTCTCAACTGATAAATGTTATTAGATTAAGTAAAATGTCTATTAGCATTATTCTGCCTTGTGAAATGGAAGCTCAATTCTGTTGGGATTTTTTAACTAGATTTAACTCATGAAATCTTCAATGAACAAGGCAAGAAAACTATTGTTGAGTAAACTTTCTGGTTAACATTATTTCATCAATTTGTTTGATTTTCCTCTCTTCTGGTTGACATTCAAATTTAATCACTGAAACATTTTCGTTTGTTGATAAACTCAAATCTGACTCGGTTTGGGCAAACATTTCGTCAACATTATCAAGTTTCAACTTTTCCGGTGAAAATTGAGTCAATTTTTTCTATAAGATATTGATGAAACAAATCAAAGGTCAATCTATGTTTTTTTTGTATCAAAATCTAACTTTTAAAATTAAATGAACAACAATTTTTTCTCACATTCTCAAGTCATGTCTGAAGTCTGAATTTTTTCCGATTACAGATTTTTTAAATTCGATTATTGGTTCCGGGACAACTGCAAGTGAATAGAGGCTAATGGAGAGTCGACCCTTTACATTTTATGCTACAAAGTTTCTTGTTTCAATCAATCAAACTTTTCGTTTGGATTTGACTTACTTTTGCTCATTGAAAGCTTTTGCTTGAAATTAAGGTTAAGCTTGAGGCAGGATAAGCAAACTTTTAAATCAAATTTGTTTGAATCAAATCAGCAGTTTCTTATAGAGATTGGTAAAATCTGAATCAACATAATCTGTTCCTCATTAAGTTTGTTTGGATTCTTACCTCTCGAACCTACTCACACTCTTTTTTATATTGTTTAAACATACGAATGGTCGATAGCCTTCGATATGGCCAGCTATTACCAAATCTCGCACTGACCATATTGTACTTTTTGATGACATTTTGTAGAAAATTGAAACAAAACAAACTTCGAACTCTGAGCTCTCAAAACGTTAACTCTAATGCAAAAAATTGTTTTCTTTTTAAACAGAAATGTCAAAAGTAAGTTAACCTTTAGTGTTGATCTTTTCCTTGACTTAAAATCTTGTCTATTTTAAAGCAAAACTTGTCTTTTCATGTGCAAAAATCAGCCGATTCTGACCGAAACGATTGTAATGCAAAATAACCTGATGATGCAAATTAAATTCTGAGTCAGTTGAAACGAACTTTGACTAAATTTCGAATCTTGAAAAGTCTTTTATTGTAGCGAAAAAGACAAATTAAATGACAGCAATGATAACCTTTCTTAGTCAATGTATTTGGTTGAATCTTGACACTTGTTTTCACAATAACAATGCAAAATAAACCGATGGTTAATCTGTCGAGTTTACTGACTCCCTGATTTAATCCATGAACCAAGACCTTTCGTTACCCAAATCCTTTATCAACAAGAAAAGCTTCAACTTCTAAGGGAACTACAAATTGTCCTGATTGTTACCATGTTTGTCTGGTAACAATTGAACAAGAGTTAACCTAATCTTCCTACGTACCTCAAAAATATAAAAATTGTCTTTGCAAGACCAATGCTAATCATGTTGGGTGAAAAAAAAGACTGACGAGCGAGATGAAATTGTTAGCTTAAAAATGACAATGATTGAGTTTGTAAATGATGGTTACATGAGAATAAATTGAATGATAATTAGATGAGGAATAAAGCAGCAAGATGTATTCATGTACATTCATTGAAAGGTTTACTTTTCATTTGATAATTTGTTGAATGTTACAAGGCAAAAAAGGTAAAGGTGAACAACAATATCCAGATGAAATTATCTAAAATTTGATTCCATATTTAAATGGATATTTGAGAAGGCAAAGCAGATTCACTGATCGGTTGAATGAATTTAAATAAATTTAAACATTTAAACAACAACTTATTCAGCATTCAATGCAACATGAAAACTTTTCACATCCATCTATATCCAAATATACTTATATTGAATAGAAATTTGGAAATTGATGAAAAGAATCTTTCATTTTCTTTTTTCTTCACTTGCATGCTATTAAGTGAAGAATCAAGTTGATGGATTTAAATTTATTCAATAACAGTTTATCCATTTTTTGTTGACTAAATTCACTTTTTTTCAGGGAACAGAATTTCAACATTTCGATAGTAATGAGTTATTTATCTAGCAAATGCAAGTAATTGATAAGATATTAAACTGAGCGAAAAGGTTGAACAACTGAATCGATAATTGGAAAGCTAATTGGACCAAGTTTTCAGTTTCATCTGTCAAATGAGTTTTCAATGGAAATTTGAAATGAAAGTGGAAAAGAGGGAAAAACTGATTGGCTTACCTGTTGATTGAATGGTGAGTCAATATTATCAGAACCGGAAACTGAGTTCCATGTAACACAGAGGAAAAGAAGTGAGAGAAAAAGAAAAGAACCATTTTTAAGCAACATTTCAATGAAAGTTGCAGGGAAACACTGAATGGAGAATAATGATGAAGATGGCGAGAGAAAAGTAATTGAATCGAATTCTTTGGATGACAATAATTTCAAGTTATCATTAATATCATGACATTCAGTTGAACTTGTTTATTCTCTCTTCTCTCTTCTCTCAGAGTCTTGATCAAAGTTGTTAACGTTTTGTTTATCAAGTGTACAGTTTCAATGGTAAAGATGAAGAAAAGGATTAAATTTTTCGATTCTTTTTTCTTTTTTCAGTTCGACTTTGTTCACCAATTTTCACTCTTTCAAGTCACAAGTTATCATTATCATGAAAACTGAGAAAAGAAATAAAGAAATAAATTTAAAACTTTTCTCAGGTAGAGTTTGCTCGATTGTTTGTTGTCTGTAAAGACTTTGAAAGTTGCTTCAAGTGTAACTTATCCAGCAACTTATAGACTCTAATCAGGTCTGATGATGACAATGTTAACTTACTTGATCATGATATTGGATATCAGAATAGGTAACAAGTGCTCAGGTAATTGTGTTTTAAGATAATTTCGTTAACAGCGCATGAATTTATCCAACTTGTTTGATATCAAAAATTGATTCAAATATTGGAAAGAGAATCATTTCTATTTTGGAATTTTTACCTTTTTTTCCAATTTTATGTTCATTAACTTTGGAAACACTCAATGTTGTAACAAATTAGTTTCTCACTTGGTGATAAATGATTTCAATTTAACCATGAATCTCCAAAATATGGAATTTCTTTTTTAGAAAACTGGAAATTTATTTGGAAACCAAATGGAAGACAAATTATTTCAGCTCAATTCTGTTGAAAGTAATTAGATAAGAGACGAAATTAACCAATCAGAGAAAATGTTTTGGTTTTTTGTTTCAACCAACAATTTGTAAATAACAATCTTTTTGTTATTTAATTTTTCGAATCAGTTTGATGAGTAAATTCCTGTGCGTAGGAAGATGTTTAGTTTCAATCGAGTTGGTTACATTTTCCTGGCGATTCAGGAATCGACTTTGAAAGTTTCATGGTTTCATCAAGTGTTCAATGGAAACATTTCAAGAGTTGGTTTTAAATCAATAATATTAGTAAGTTGGGATAACTTGTAGCTCTTGTCTGTTAAATTGGATAACATTCATGCTCTAATCAAGATATTTTCTTGCATTAGACATGAATATTGAACAGTTCTTGAATAGACTCGTTTAATTAGTAAACATCAGGTTTAAAAATTGATTAGTGTGTCAATCTGTGCGATTAGGAAAAGATAGACGGATTGTAATAATAATTTTAATATGTTAAGATATCAAATAACATTACATGATCGATCGTTGAAAGATAGCTCGAGGACGGTAATCCTTGTATTATTATAGACTGAGCTATTAACACAGAAATTGAAATATTTTTCATTTGACTAGGAAATTGAGGTTAGACGGTTAGGGCTTAGAATGGCTAGCATGACCACTGGTTATTAACCAGCAACCGCTCAATTCAACCTAATGGTTAAGCTAACCAGGAATCGTTAGTTACTTTGGAGATTCAGAGTCATCTATTGATAGATAAATGAACAATGCATTAAAATTGTAAGAAGCGCCTCTAGTGATAGATCGAATCACTTTCATCACAAACAAACCCAACATCAATTTTATTGTCAATTTTGGATTTTCTTGATTAAATTGAAGCAGAAAATACGCTTTGAGTAAGACGTGATCCAAAAAATAGTGTTAATCAACCATTTTTGATTAAAATTTGACTGGAAATTAGTGTTTTCAAACTTTGCGCCTGAAACATTAAACGGACAGGTAATCAAATGTAACCAGTTACTTCTCCTCCCCTACTTACCAAATGGTTGTAACAGTTTCACCTTTACTTTAAAAGGTTTTCATCTTTTGTCTTTAAGATGGTTAAATTTAGTGAAATTGAAAATAAACAACTGGATCCCAGGGAATTCGAATACCGTATTAACAGTAAAATTCGTAAAATTATTACCAAATGTTTAAAGCCTGATGACAATAAAGATGCAGATGATGGGACCATCAACAGACTGAAAGAAATCATGGATAAAGAGGAAGGTGATAAACAAATGGTTTCATATGATGATCTCAGTGAAATACACAAATGTTTACTGAAGCTGGATACTTCTTATGACTTGTTTTTTTACCAATTGCTTGAGGAGACAAATGTAATCATTCCAATTAGTAACAAGAAACCTGAACTGCAAGCTAGGCTGATCAAGTTAAAATGTGAAGCTGCTGCGAAAGAGTACAAGAAAATGACCGATGGAGTATGTTTGGTAGCCAGTAATTCAAAGGAAAATAAGAAAAATATATCTAGTGAAGTGAAAGAAATCAAATCGCTTATTACGGCTTTAATTAATGGCGTATTGGTGGTACTTTGTTCATTTTACTTCATTTATAAAGTTGTTGAGTATTCGTTGCCCAAGCAAGATATACCTTTCCAGATAATAGTAGCTTTAGCTGCATCCACTGTGATTGCGATTGCAGAGCTGTATTTTTTCATTCGAGTTATGTAAATATAAAACTTCAATCAACGTCAGTAAATCACTTCCAGGCAATAACATTACTCATCTTTTTTTGTTCACAAAAAATTAACTTTCAACACGAAACAATCAACTAATAATTATTTCTTCTACTTTTTCCTTACCCTTAAAATACAGCTTATCATCGTCATAAGCATTTTACATCGTTCAAAATCATTAAGCAAAAATCATCATGATCATCGTCATAATTATCGTCATCAAGGCTGGTCAAACCGCATCGACATCACAAATATACAGTAGACAGCACAAAAACTGTCACTCATTTGAACACGTTATTTAACCACGATTTTAAACGAATAAACTGAGAGAAATAATGAGACAAGGACAGTGGGGATACTATGATACAACTAGATCGTCATGTGTCTAACTAGCATTATAAACATCTCTTCTAATCAATAAGTAATCAAGATTAAGACAATTCAAGAGCTTCTTTTCAAATAAACATCAAAACAGACATAAACACATCGCTAGAGCCATCTATCAAAAGATATCGACATTAAATTGTCAAGCAAGATCAAGCGCTTTGTTGAGATTTGAAGTTGAATTATTTGAAAAAAGTTGAATATCAAAAAATTTGGTAAAGAGTGGGTCTTAATTTGACGAGACTATATCATTCTTTAAAGCATTGATGGTTGATGTTGATTAATAAAGTATTAATCAATTATACTAGAGAGCATAAAAACTGTCACTCATTTAAACACTTTTTTCTCATAAATATGAAAATTAGATCATTGAGATTTGCTGAGTCGAAACATCATGACTCTTTCTAGCAATCGATTCAACATTTTAAGTCCAATTTTAGTTCAAAAATGATTTTACGATTGAAAACACACTAACACAGTTATTGACTTGTTAGTTTGTAACATTTTTCAACACAGATCAACTTGTAATCTTTTTTCTTGAACTTAAACTTAAATTTTAGGTTGTAAGATTTTTTATTTGAGGTCATTTTAACAGCAATTTTTACATCGAAATTGTGATCTATTTGTCGCCATTTAGTAAAAATCGTATTCTCTTGTGTACTATTTATTATACCTGAAAATTGTTTTGATTTGTAAGTCTAATTTCAGAGATTCCATTGAAAACAAACATAAAAAGCTGACAGTTTTTATGCTCTCAACTGTACTGATCACCAACAGTGTTATCAACCAAAAAGTGAATTTGAATTGGATTCATTTCGGTAAATGAATGGATAAATTATGCATTGATTAATAAGGTAAACTTGAAAGGCTTGTAATGTTTTCACTATTTTTTAGATTCCATTAAAAGATTCAGTTTTGTTTTTGAAATTTTCACTAAAAATTGGTTGTTATTATTGGTGAAGGTTTGTGTTTAAGGTGAGTTACAATTAAAGCATAATAATGCCAAGTGTCAAAAATGAAACGAGTTAATATATACCCACAACCGACGCAATAGTGATAATGAATGTTGCTATTAAAATGTAAACTTAAAATTCATCTCTTATCGTTAAATGAGATAGCAATTTGTAGGTAAAGAAAGTCATCTTATAGCAACAGATTGAACCATTAATTGTGGTTTATCAAAAATACTTATTTATACACATTACCTTTCACCTGAACCACACAAATGACGGGAGAGAAAACAAAAGAAGGTTAAAGATAAAACACTTTTTGAGTGATTCCATCAAAACCCAAATGTGTAATAAATCTATTTAACCAATTTACAATTTTCAAGCTTTCATTGAGACAAATTGTGAATCGAGTTGCATTCAAACACTTAACCGCCTCACTAATGACTTATTGAGCTCAAAATTTATTGTTTTACCCTTTACCGAATCAGCTGTAATCAAATATATAAAACATGAATATTATTTGCGATAGTGATAAATATTTTGGCCTCACATCTTGATGGTACAATCATTGGGATTGAGCTCTAAAGTCAGCTTTTGGGTTAGTGAGATCAATGTATTGATGTTTTGGGTTGAGTTGAAGATTGAAGTTGAAAATTGCCTGACTTGCGGGACGATTGCATTTTTGCGGGACAAATGATTTACTCTGGCATTTTTGATCTTCTAATGGTATTTGTGGGTTTCATCAGAGGCTTCCGGGAGCTGCAAAAACAGGAAATCGGTGAGAATGAGAAATGTGAAGTCAGTGAGAGAGAAAGAGAGAAATGTCAACAGAGGAAAATAGAAAAGGTCCACAAAATTTAGACAGATGGAAACCAAGTGAGGGAAATACTGAGAGTAGAATGGAGTTGAAGACTAAGATGAAGACTAGGGGTAGACCTTGAGTAAGGTAAGTTATGTGTGTATTTGAGAGAGGGAGAAGGGGGAAGAAGATGATAATGATAAAGAAAAGGTGAATGAAAATAGAGGAAAGAGAAGATAAGAGGGAGAGAGAGAGTGAATAAGGTTTTTAATGGTTGTTGTATCAACCCAAAAAGAGGTTGGACCAGGTAAATGTTGATCTGAGCAACCGATGCTTGTCATTTTGGTAACAACGTTGATCCAGTAAACTTTGTATCCCAAACGGCAACTTTACTTCAATTGATTCCTGTCTTGTTATTGTGTGCGTCTCTTGTTGTCGCCTTTAAAACGTGCCTTTCCCTGAAAATATCAAAAAAACGGTGACATTAGTAAATTAATTTTTGCAACATTTTCCTGCTCATCAAAGTATTATTTATACAAAAAGGTTACTTTCTGTGATATGTAAAGTTACCAAATAGTGGTCAAAACAATGTATGAAGGGCGACAAAATAATTTCATTAAACAACAGTCATAAGCTTTTGATACTTACACTTGAAGCTGACATCAACCAGAAGACGAAACCACTCACATCACGACCAAAGAGAGTCCAATTTGGATTCAAAAATGTCCAACAAATGTGATGTCAAAACATTAAAATAAGGTGACAACAGATTAATAATTGTGTATCAATATCAAGCAAAGAGTTAAGTTTTCATGTGTAACTCAAAAATCATGTGTTAGCGTTTGTTCACCACACAACGGCAAAACTTGTAACTTCTAATGTGTTGCCAATGTTTCATCAATAAATCATCTTCATCAACTAATCACCACAATTCATCGCTATCAACTCAACTAATCCCATCCTTGGTCATTGGCCATGGTTACGAAAGCTGTGACAAATGTTTATTACCAGTTTTATCTAAATACCTTACAGGTATCACCAATTATCAAAGATAATCCCGGATTATTACTTTTGTTAAAATTACTATTTCTTTTATTGTTATTAGTTTTATTTGATTATCACCATTATTATTATTTTCACCATCTAAATCATCATATTTCCTTTCAAATTGGATAAAATTGAAGGATTGTTAGGTGTTATTAACATTATCAACATAATTTATATACAACAACCAGAGCCTCAACAGTTTGGACAAACGGTTTACTTTTAGTGTTTTGTTTGTGATCTTTTTTCACCTTTCATTTGTTTTAATTTTTGCTTTAAACATAATTTTTTGCTTCATTTTAATTGTACAATAATGTCGAGTGGCAAGACTTTAATTGATCATGCAAGTAACCCGGTTAAAAGTAAATTAATCAATGGATCAACAGGCTCAGCAACTGGCTATGGTGATCTCGAGGATTATATCATGGAGTTGCAAAGTCGCTCATTGCAAAATGGTTCATCTGAGAATGACAAGAATGGTATCAACATTGGTAATTCAGTTAATTCAGTGATTAATGGGGAAACAAATGTTGATCCAACGGAATTATTGTTACAATTGGCTCAAAAGGAGAAAGATTTAATTCTTGCCGCTGAATTGGGTAAAGCATTGTTGGAACGCAATGAACAACTGACTCGGGCCAATGAAAGGATTACAGAGGAATACTCACATAAACTTGAGGTAAGACTAGACTATTTAATCAGCCATTGATTGGCAATTAATCATTTGACAATCAAATAACATGAAACTGGTTAAATGTGACCAAAAATAACCCGAAAAACTCTGTCTTGATCAGCTGTGTTTGAGTAGTTGAATGTTGTCGAGTTACTTTGCTAAATCATTTCTAATCCTGTAAACCGAGTGTAAACATTTTACCAGTTGATTTGGTCATTAATTAAATTTGAAGACTCGTGGTTAACTCAAGGTGAATTGATTCAATTGATTATAATTATTGAATAATTGACCGTAATAATGAATCAATCTTTCTCATTGTTGTTGTTGTTTACTTATGCTTATGGACTCTCAACACTTTTGTGTTAACCTGCTCATAGTGAATCAATTGAATAGATCATGATTTGATAGTTAAATATTTACCTCATTGATTATGGTTGTTCATGATGCTGCAACAAAAATGAGAACATTTAATTGTATTGTTAACCTTGGACTTGAAAATATTGAACTTTTTGCTGCTCAAACCTTTCACCATTTTTCATCGATTTATATCAACTTTTATACCTTTTTTTATTGTACTTTTACTAACGCATTAATCAGTTGATTGAAAGGGTCAAATTTAATCTTTTTGTTGTCTAAATTAACCTTGATTATACCTTGTTTTTGTACCATAGACTGAACCTCTTGTTGCCAGGCTTGATCGACTCAGGATTTCCTTCAGATTTCACTAGCAACTTGAAAGATTTCTTTTGCTTTCGTTAAATTGTATTATTTGAATTTATAACTTAGGTTACAATAGATTCATGATTTCAATCATAATAATCGTTATTTGCTTTTGAAATTGACATTCCCTTGAAATAATTACTCATCTTGCTCACAACATTATCTCAATTATAACACTTTCCCTAGAAACATTGTTTCTCGATTTTTCTAAACCCTCTTTTTCCCCTCCTGTCCATCTTGATTTGAAAATTAACGGTTATTTTTCAATGAGCAATTCTTTGGTTATTTTCAATTGTTTAATATTTAATTTTGTTGTAAACCTCTCTGTTTATTGTTCAAGCATTATTTTACATCAGTATCCCTGAGATTTTTGTTTCTTGTGTTCAATAAGTTTTTCTCATGTCAGCAAATTGACGCCATGTTCAAACAAAGAGAGGTTACAAGCTTCTCAAAGATTCTCTTTGTCTTAATGAACGTTCATCTTCAACCTGTTGTTTAACCTCTTGTCAAGCTACAAGATATGAATTTTTACTTCAACTCTGACAATCTGGAATCCACAAGTTTAGTAAATCTTTGCTTTTTAATCCATTTTTTGTCTATTCACATTTGAAATAAGCCTTTGTTTTTTCTTCATCAGGTTTTTTTTGTGTCATGAAAGTAGACTGATTAAGTTGAAACTAGCGATGAAAAGGGAAATCCATTTTGCAATTTTCTTACGACATGAAAGGACAACACCCAAGTTGAAGCCAGGAATGTGATCAATTGTAGTGACAAACCACAAATACAAAAGCCTCCATTTCTTGAAGATTGAATCACAAATATGCTATTAGTGAAAAAAAGAGTTTAATTGTTCATTGAACCCTGCTGTCCTTAGTATTTGCTAATCCAAGAAAGGACCTTTAAAAATGATTGCATGAAACCAGGAATGATGATGGTGATGATGGTGATAATGGCTACAAACAATATGTAAAATTTACACTAGAGTAACAATGCGTTAACATGTATTAATAAATACCATCTTAACACTAGCAAACTCATTTGCCCATGAAAAAAGTGTTGATAGTAATCGTTGATTCACATTGAAATACTCAAGCATACCCAAAGTGAAATGGTTGCTTCAAGGAGTTCAAAAAAAGTGTATCATTTCAACAATTAATGAATTATTGTATCATTTAACCATACATATACAACTCTTATGTTGAAGCTGTTTAAGTTAATCTCTCTTTCAACCAACATCCAAGGAAGACAAAACAATACAATAATCTGGAAGATACACTTTTGAACATCATCCAACTCTTAATCAATAACAATCAATACATGAATATGGTGGAAATGAGTTTCAACAAGCAACACACAAACCAGAAAACAAGAGTCTCATTACATGTTGAATAGTGTTTTCTTTCCGATCGTAACACTTTTCTTTCAATTGGACAATCAGTTGAAACAATACGCTCTCAATTGTTATAAACCAATTATCATGAAATGGTTAATTATCGATTCATTTGACTGAAAAGAGGAAATCTTCTGCATTCTCTCTTTTACCAATGATATACACTTATGATATACCAATGATATGACTTTTTCCCGCCAACCTCACTAATCAATATTGAAATGTTTTGTTTTCCCATAAAACATTTGTTCCTGGTTAATCACCAAGGTGACCAAGGTGACCAATATCAATAGCAGTCGAGGGAATAACCTCAATTCAAGTATTCATTATTTTTACCTTCTCCTCCTCTTCCTCAATTGTCATCATCATCTTGTCTGTCCATTGAAAGCTATCTGTTGACAAAATGAAACAAGCAAGTGTTTGACTTTCACCCGGTAATAATGGGTAAAGCAAAAGGAAACCTTAAAGGCACTTTTCATCTACTCAACGCAAATGTGAAAACAAATGGAAAGAATAATTTTTATTTACCTTTTCATCTTGCAAATTAACTGTTCAAGTTCAAGTTAATCTGAAGGTTAATCATGATAATGATGAAGAGCACAGAGATTAAAGTGATCATGATTATCATTGGACTAACGGATTTCAAGATTTTCAACAATTAATTTGTTTTTCTTTTCTTTTCCTCATTACTGTCCCTTTGAGATGAAGAAGCTACTACTTTGCTTTCGGACTTGATTGTTATCAAAAGGAGAAGAATAGCAAATTTAGATAATTTTCATTCTTAAGGTCAGTTTAAATTGACTTTAATAAGCAGATTAGAAACCCTTTAACCTTTCCCTTTATCAAGCAATGTAATTATGTCAAGTTAATTGTAAACTCTGAATGTTTCTCCTATCATCTCAAACTGACAAAATTAACAAACTAGATTAAATTTTTCTCCTTTTGTTTTCCATCTCTAAATGATCTTTAATTTGGTCAGCTTTCATCTTTAATACAGTTAATTATCAGGTGAACCCATCATTTGTTAATCTTGTCACTGGACTTGAGAATAGCAAAGAATAGCCAATTTCCTGGCTTCCATGTAATGTTGAAACAAGTTGACGTCAAATGACATTTGAGTGTAACATGATAATTTCACTCTGAGAATAGGAGAAGTTGTTTCTCTGGGTGATTCTTGTCCAAGAATTATCCTGAGCAAATCAAAGTGCAAAAGAAGGCCAAATTTACATCAAGTTTAGCGCTTTTGCAGACGGAAAAGTAAAACTGAAAATTGATAACAATTTTTACTTTCATCTGATATTTCCTTCAACTGGAAAAGTTGCAACATGAATACACATAATCATGAATATTCACAATTGAATTTCAATCTCAATTAACAGTAAGTGTTAACTTGTCACAACCTTGAAGGTGATTACAGTGAAAGAGGTGATAACAATTAAGATAAATTGAGATACTTCAAGTTAATAAATTGAACGTTTTCTTGAACCATTCAACAATTCATTTGTATTACCTTTGTCAGGATATTGAATTTCAAATCGTTGCTTGGGTTGGTAAACAAACAAAAGCCGCAATATAACCATGAAACAGGAAAAAATGTGAGCAACTTTTCCAGCTACAAGTTTCTCAATGTGTAAGCAATGGAAAGGCTGGAGAAAAGCAAACCAAAGTGTAAATCTAAATAATGATGTAAGTTCTGGATGAATTGAATTGAAATCAGTTTCTTTTCCAATAAAGAAAAAAAATTGAAACTTCATCTTGAAACTTGTTCGTCAGACAATTTTTCCCAATATCAATTCAGGATCGACTTCATCTCAAGGATAGTTTGATTGTTTTTCAACTTTCCGTTGTGAAGCAAATATCATTGTCGTAATGATATTTATTTCAAGAGTCACTTTAAAGTCACCCTTTTACAATTTAAACACACACAATTCAAGTCTATTTTACATGAGAAAAGTGTTGAGTAAATCTGTTTCAAAGTCAATCCATCATTTATGTATATTGGTCTTGATTATTATCATTAGTCAATTCTAATATATACATTGACCTGACCTTTTGCTGTTGATCATTGTTGATATTGTTGTTGCTCTTGTTGATGATCATGTTGAAAATGAAGTTGATGATGATTTATGTGAGAAAGAATCAGGATTCTCTGCGGAAGTTCCAGTGAAACAAACAGTTATTCTTGGTTAAGCTAGTTAAGTTTAAATAGCATCGTGATCATAATTAACATCAGGCTCTATCTTTTGTTGAGGTTACTTTAATGTTGAGAGCTTTAAATATCTTTACATCTTTATACTGGCAACCAGCTTCTTGCAGTGAGTAGTAGCCTCAACATTACACCAAACTCTTAATAAGGTATTTTATAATGAAATTAGCGACTCTTGTCATTGTATGATAATCAACCTTTTGCCTTTGATTATCATAATTTTCGCCACCACTTAAGGTAACATTAAACAAAATTATCATCTCGGTTGAATGTTGTTTTCGTTAGCGGTTGAAATTTGGGCCAAATTTGCTGGTTAGACTTGACAGACTAGGAAATATAAATCTTTTGTTCAATCCATCATTTCTTTGTATGGTAATGCAACTTTGATCCTTCTCTTGGTTCATCATTTTTGTTGCAATTGTCATCAATAACAGCAATCACTATGGAAACTGGTCAAATAACATTGCCATAATCTGGTTTGTAATAATAGAAAGTCATAAAGTGTTAATAGGAAACAATTAGAGCAATTTGGTTTGTAACTAATTGCTGGTTAGCAGACTTAATTGTGTCTATGCTAATGATTCAATTGTTTCAATGTATATGGCCGTACATAATGATTGTAGTTCAATTGTTGTTTAAATATTATTGTATCCAACTTTTGATTTACTTGATCAACAAGAGTGAATCCAAATAGCGCGGAAGTAAATCTTATTTTCATCATCTTTCAACTTGTTATCCAATTGTCTTTAAGAATGGCTCATCTTTTTACTTCTCCATCATCATCAGCAACATCTTTTAATTTCTTTTCAAATCTTTTCCACTTTGATGATAAACTTGATAATGGTGCTCCTTTCAAATGCTAATATAAACCACAATCGTGAATTTTTGAGTGAAAAACAAAAGTTGATCGAGAATAGCGTGAAGTTTTGACTTTCTTCAAAATGCTGGGCTTCCCAAAACCTGAAAAGTCAAACAAAACAAAAACCAAATTAAGCCATAATAATTTAGTGTTAATAGAACACAAAATTGACTCAAATCTATTTTCATTCAGATTTAAACCAGATTTAAATTTATTCAACATTGTTTCAACTTCAATTTAAATCTGATAATAACAATTGATTCAATTTTAATTGAGTAAATTAAATGTTCGGAAGAAAATGATGACAAGAAAAACAAGCTAATTGTAAGCAAATTAAATAGGAAACTTTCAAGTACCACGATGCATTTAAGTACAGAAAAAAAGGTAAAAACAATCACTTTTTGTCTCTACTTTGAACAATTAGAATTGTTTCCATTTTTTTGCAAAAAATTAACCTGTCAACTTTTCTTTGGTTTGAAATATTAACGAATATCAAATTGATAATCACCTGAAAATTTCAAGATAATGTAGTCATAAATTATCATTACATCTTGATCTCAATTTGAATTGATTCCAATAGGCTTTTTTCCCTCCAATATTGATATCATTGCCATCTACTTAAGCTTGTACTCTGTTTACCATCCATTTGACTCGATTGTAAAATGTTGCAAATTTTTTCATTTGATGATGTTTGTGATTCAAATTGATTGATTTAAGGCCAACTGAAAACGGAAGTTCGTGACTGTAACCTTTTGTCGTGCCTTACATATGCAAAAACAGCTGGACACGTGATGAAAATACGTGTTTACTGAACCATATGGAAATTGTGAGGAAAATGGACTGTTCAAATTGCTATTTCATGAAGGCTGTAAAATATGGTTTCGCCCAATTTGTCATCATCTCAATGCCTTCTGATCAGTTACAGATGATAAACAAGCAAAAGAGAGTTGAAGAACCAGAAAAATAGCTTTTTGCCATAACCATTATAAGCTGTAACGTTACACTCGAGTTCGACCACTGATATCCAATTGTTCAACAAGCCCATTTTTGAATCAATGACAACCAATAAATGTCGAGACAGGCCATGAACTAAATTAAAAATGATATAAAATGAAACAAAACAAATTAACATCTCCAATTGGATTGAAAATTTTAACCAGAAGCCGTAAAATCCAAGTTAAACCTTACATAAGTTCATATTTAATATCACAAATTCAGCTGAATGTAAATACCAATTGTGTTTTCTCAAGCAAAAAAAACTGATTAAGCTTTCAAATCAAAAAAACTAAATTTAAATAAATCACAAATGAAAATTTAATAAAAATAATTAAACAATGAGACAATTTATGGTAAAATAAAAATGCAATCTCATGCTGTGTCATAGGAAATAGGGTAACACAAAAGGGGAAAAAGGGTAAAGCGCGAGGTTCAAGTTAACCAAGGAAATTAATAAATCATTGATATCTTAATAAATGAAATAATTTAACTTTTCCTTCAATCAACAAAGGTTAATGTATCCAAAACAATAACATAACCATGAATAGATTTAGCGTAACCATATAAAATGGCTAATAAATTAATCAACCTCATAATTGAATCCTTTTTTGGTTCAAAGCTTTTCTCAATACTTTCAATGTTTCAATCATTTTGTTCAATCAGTTTTCCCAATTAATCTCCCAATATGATACACAATTCACTAAACAATAACTTTCCCTGAACCTTTTGATTCACCTTTTTTTCTGCTGCTCATTTCAATCGCAACCTTTCCTAAGGCAAACCATTTCAATCAAAACAACCTTTACCTTTACCTTTTGTTAATCACCTCACCAGCTTATCTCCTTCCCGGTTATATACTCTATTGGATTGAAAACCTCATTCTTAGGTGTGCTTTTTAATCACAATTATCTGTTGGGAGGAACAATTTCATCAGCAAAAAATGAGTAAAATTATGATTCATTTTACCTTTAAAAGGTTCAATTTATTTTGGTCAGTTGACAATCAATTGTGACTTTAACTTTGTTACATTCAATCTTTACAATTAGCTTCTCGTGAATATTCAAAGATTGTAAGTCAGCCCGAGTTGTTTGAACACAAAACGATTGCAAGATTTTTAATTATGAAGCCAAAAGTGGTTCCATTTTTTGCAATATTTTTGATTGTTTATTGTGACAATTAAAAAGTCACATTAATCTTGTTGCTATTGTTGTCAACGCGTTCATTGAGAGTCACAAAAAAACCACAAAAACGTTGCAAAAGGTCATTTCAATTGTAATGGTAATGTTCAAAATGAATAGATTAACCTTGTTCAAATGCCGGACAGCAAAACTAAAAGGTTAACTCGAGGTAAAATGAAGCGGACTTTTGTTGACAAGGTTTTCAGGGAGTAAACCTAAAAGCTTGGACTTGGCTCAACCAAAAAAAGGTTCAATTGATTAACCAATTGTTTAAAAATAACATTGGCCCAGTGTGCTATTGAGCCAGTAAAAGTAAAGACAAGAGTAAAATTGAGTAGAATCCAGAAAAGCGCGACTAGAAGAGAAAACACCAAAAAACCAAACCAAAAAGAAGCATTTCATGTGCTGGAGTCAATTATGGAACTTGAGTTTATCGAATTGGAACATTTTGATTAGCCTTTGAAATCAGGTTTTCCCAAGATAAAGTTGAACTCAAAGTGAAACAAGTCAAGGTGACAAAACCCAAAGAGTAACCAAAAAGAGTCGTAAAACAAAAGCTCAGCAAAAAATTCATTTCCAAATGATGACAATAAAAGTATCATGAAATTCACATGCAACCAAAAAAAGACTCGGCAAATGATGGAAAATTAAAGTTCTAAGATCTCATTCCAAGGCCAAGGTTTCCTTTGGTTAGTCGTTTTTTTTTGTCCACCAAAGCGTCTAATTTGGCCGTGATTTGTAAACTGTTCATTATGTTCATTTGTAATAATTGATTGTTGACTCATGAAACCTTCAAGGCTTTAGATGCTATTAATACCTGAAATGAGCGTTTCAATGTCCTAACCAAACCCTTTTGTTTTTCTTACCTTTTTATTTTGCTTTACTCATTACCATCAGGCCTGATGCTGAATAAACAGTATCTTGTAACATTTGATAATTATTGATGTTTCCGGCTATAACGTGACCTTCGTACGGTTGATAGCAGGTGAAACGTTATCAACGTGAATAAACTTAATTAGACACTGATTTCTGAATCATTTTCTTTTTTTTTCACCAACTCTTTCCTTCTCATCAATACTTGAACATTTAGTGTTCATCAAAAATTCAACTTGATTCAGTAATTAAAAGACTTTGTTCCAATCAAGGTTGAATATTTTCTCGTTTCAACCGATCTCCAATCAAGGTAAACAATGATTCAACCATTCCAATGAAACTAATTTAAAACAAATTACCAGACAATTTAATATTAGATCATCGAAAAAGCAGAGCAAATAATGAAGGCGATTCTTCCAATTCAAGGTGTGTTCACATTGAATCCTTTGGAAACTTGAAAAACATGATCAAAGTGATAGTTAACATCATCATGATCATCATCATCATCATCATTATGAAAAAGGCATTTCTTCTCGATTCATTTTCTTTTGAAGTTACCAAAAATTGTATCAATTTTGCCATTTGAATCTTTCCTGTCAACAACCTTTAAGGTGTAAACCTGATTAACAGATTACACTGATTGGGAATAAATGAAGAGGAAAAAAATGATGATTTTACTGTTGATGCCGTTTCGGTAATCAACTTTACCTGTGAATGACATTTGCAATCTTTAATCATTTTCCCAGCATTCAAATTGCTTGAGATCAGAGTTGAATAATGAATCAGTTGAGTTTCTCTCACCAATTTCACCATTGATTGTCCAAATGGATAATCATTTTCATCTAAAAAAACGATAATCTCTTTCATCGAAACTCTCATCATTATCTTTTGTATCATTTTACTAGTCAAATAATTAACTCTATCAATCCAGGGTGGAATCGCTCATTGTTATCTTTATTGTAACATCATCAGCAACACGATAACTTACTCTTCAATTACCTTGATTTAGATTATCTTTTTCCGTGTCTTTTCATCATCAATCCATTTTGCCATCGAAACAACCTCAACCTTCATTGAGACACAATACCAATCAATATTGTCCGCTAACCTAACCTCACCTAAAAAAATGTAAAATGTTCAAAACAATCGAACAAAATTGAAATCTTTTCTCTCGAACATTACCTTTCATGATAACAGTTTACAAGTTTCAATCTTATCAAAATAATCAACTTTCTCTTCTTCACCTGATGCTGATTAGACTCTTGATTGTGCTAATTGTGCATAAATTAAGTGCGTTAAAAGTGAATCTAAAAAGATCACAGATTGAATCAGAAAATTGCATGAAAGTAAAATGAAAAAGTGAACAAGAATTTTGAATGAAAAAAGAACAACAAAAAACGACTTTTCACATTCCTTGATAAAGGTCTCAACTCTTTATCTGCTTGTTAAACGTGTTTACTGTAAAACAATCATCTGAATGAAAAATTGACCCAATTTAAGGAACTTCTTAATCATGTTTGACAATAGATTGGAAGCATTTAAAAAAAAGAAACAATTCGCCGCTCAATTTTCGATTGAAATTTTCAGATTAAACAGTCAACTTGATTGCTTGAGGTTAAGGTTATCGACAATTAACATAGTCCATTGTTTGGTTATTTTTAATCAAATTTAATCCAATTTTCGCGATTTAACCTTTTTCCATTGAAACCTTTACTTTTATTGAGAAAACCAAAGTTTCAGTTTTCCTGTAAAACTCAATTCTTTCCAATAATATTGCAAACAAAATTGCAAGGTTTACTCAGTTTTGTTCAGATTATTTCAGGAATTATCATTTTCCATCAATCATTGAGAAATGGCAAAAAACGATTCTTTTTGGTCAACAATTTCATGATTCAAATGAAAATTCAATTTTCACCATTTACTATTAACTCTTGATTGTTATTAATAACTCGTAACTCGTTAACATGATCACAGCTTTTTTATGGCAAACTCAGATTTGGAAGATTTCATTATTACCCTTTTCATCATTACTGAATTCATGATGAATTTCATCTCGATGGCACGTTACAGAACAGTTGATTTGCAAAAAAAGATGTAACAATATTTATCCTTTTAGATGAACAATAAAAAAGGTAAATCTTTATAAGTTTAATGCTCAAGATAATAATATCTTAATCTCATTAAGGTCAATTTCTTGGGCTTCTTGTTCACCTTTACTTGATATTATTTAGGTAATGACAATTTACAGTTGTGATGATGGAAGAGCGAAGTCGTTTTTTTTTGAAAATTGTTTTTCTTTCCATTCTTGTTGACTTTTGTCCAACTTTTCAAGTTTCAAGTGTTTATTGTTATTGATATTAAGAGTACAATTAGACTGTAATTTGAGTTGATTATTAAAAATTAAAGGTAATTGGTGCAATTTTGTAACAAAATCTTGTTAACTTTGATTCTCCTCTTTTCTCATTCAAATTGATTCTTTTTCAGTTGACCTTTCATGATTTGGTCAATCATGTTGATGTTTATTAATTTTTGTCGTTAAAGTAGGACACAGCTAAATTTAACAATTGATGATGTAAATTGTTTTCCCTTTGATAACAATGATGACAATTTTCATCATTTGTATAATGAATTTGTTATCTGTATTAAGCTGTTGGTTTATTTGTATTATCTGAAACGTGAACTTGTTCATTTCATTTACCAAAATCATTATTTATATTTTTTAAGGTTGACATTATCATATTTTGATGATAAAATTGTCTCTTTTGTCAATCTTGAAATGATTACATTTGGATGCAAAGCATGGGATAATGATGGTCACCAGTTGTGATTATATAATTTGCAGTTGACAGTTTTCACGTTTGACCATAAGTTTATATTTTATATTTTAATCTACAATCTTTTCGCTAAGCTTGGTTTCTTATGTTGAATGTTGGTTATAAAAGCCTTTATCTTTCATCAATTTTCATGTTTAGGTTGTAATTACGCGAATGAAGGAGAAAAAATATTTGTTTTAATGTCATTTATTAAATAACATTTGGTACATAATCAATGAAATGGTTTAGTATTTAAATAAAATGCTTAGTGTTGAACGGCAACTGAAGCAGAGTTTGAAGCACCATTTTCATAAGCACCATTGATACCAGAGTTGGCATATCGACCTTGCTCAGCTTCGAATGAGGCTCCACCTCGGGAAGCGTTTGAGTTGTCATAGCCTGAGCTTCTTGATGCTGAACCATCGAATTCATTTGAGTTTGATGATTGAGATCCTTGAACTCCACCAGCACCAGCTTGGAACTGAGATTGTTGTTGGGCAGCTTGTCCGTGGAATGCAGATTGTGAGTTATCGAAACCTCGGGAGCTTGAGGCATTATCGTAGTAACCATTTCCAGCTGATCGTACAGCTTCTCCTTGGTTTTGGTAAGCACCGAAGTTTCCTGAGTTGTATTGACTAGAGCTAGCTTGAGCTTGAGCTTGAGCTTGAGCTTGTCGTTGGAGTTGAGCTTGACGTTGGGCTTCAGCTTGTTGTTGGAGTTGAGCTTGACGTTGGGCTTCAGCTTGAGCTTGAGCTTGACGTTGAGCTTGAGCTTGGGCTTCAGCTTGTCTTTGGAGTTGAGCTTGTCGTTGAGCTTCAGCTTGGGCTTGGGCTTGTCGTTGAGCTTCAGCTTGGGCTTGGGCTTGACGTTGAGCTTCAGCTTGGCGTTGAGCTTCAGCTTGAGCTTCTTGTTGTCGTTGGATTTGAGCTTGACGTTGGGCTTCAGCTTGGGCTTGAGCTTGACGTTGAGCTTGGGCTTGGGCTTCTTGTTGTTGTTGGATTTGAGCTTGACGTTGGGCTTCAGCTTGAGCTTGAGCTTGAGCTTGACGTTGGATCTGGGCTTGGCGTTGAGCTTGAGCTTGAGCTTGAGCTTGAGCTTGAGCTTGAGCTTCGTATTCTTGAGATCGACGTTGGTTTCTTGAATTGTATTGGCTTGAAGCACCTGATGAAGCGCCACCGAAACCTGAAGTGATTCCTCGGATGGATCCAGTTGCAGATGCAGCAGCATTAGCAGCAGCATTAGCAGCACCTGAAGCTACACCTCGAATTGAACCGGTTGCTGATGAAGCAGCATTGGCAGCGGTAGAGGCTATACCTCGGAGTGATCCAGTTGCAGAGGCAGCAGCATTAGCAGCAGCATTGGCAGCACCTGAAGCTACACCTCGAATTGAACCAGAGGCACCAGCAACAGTGTTGGAGATAGAACCTTGTAAACCATTAGCAACATTCATAGCTGTGTTAACTTTAGATCCGAGTAAACCAGTAACTCCACTGGTAATTCCACCAACAGCACCTAAAGCTCCTCGAACGGTTCCACCAATACCAGAAGTAAGACCTCCGATACTGCCAGTAACACCACCTAAAAGATTACCGATTCCACCTCCACCGGAACCTCCACCTAAACCAAGACCAAGACCAAGACCAAGACCGGATCCACCTCCACCAGAGCCAGAGCCAGATCCGAAACCAATACCGAAGCCTGAGCCAGAGCCAGAGCTAGCACTAGCACCACTACGAGAGCTGGATCCTCCACCAAGAAGACCGCCTAATCCACCACCGCAAAGAAGAGGTGAAGCTAAGAAAACAAAAAGATTTATTAGTAATTCAGTAAAAAAGATGAGAACTGAATACAGTTAGACAAGTACTTACCGGATGCCATGAAGGCGCAGGAAAGAACACAAGTTACAACGAAGATCCTCATTTTCAGATGAATTTATTAGAACTTTTTAACTTTGAGTTTGCAAAGATATTCCTATGAAAGTAAACTATTAACCGAGCAAAAGCAAAGTTAATTATGAGATTGAGATACAAAATCAACCCTATTTATAGTCAAAACTTAATATCATCTGCAACATTGAGACAATACTCTACCATCATCTGGACATTTATCATTTGAAGCGACAGAAGGCTGGTGTTTATTTCCGTCATAGTTTATCATCAAAATCTATTAATCAAATCTAAAAAGGTGACATTTCATTCCAATAAAGAACAATTCATAGACATCATGATTTTCCTCGCTATATACGCATGAAAAACATGAATAACCAATGAATACAAATCAATGAAAAACTTGGCCATTTTGATCACAATTTTATCTCTAAGATTGAAAAGCAACCGATTATAAAAGTCATTTTAAATTCAGCTAACTTGATATCTAAAATTGAATCAGGAAAAGTAAATTAAATCAATTTTCTAACATTTAATCTTTTTTCACATCAAATGTTGATCGATAGATTTTGATTGCAGTTCCTGAGAAGCGAAAAAAGGTGAAATTCAATCATTTCAATCATTCAAACTAAACGTCAAAAAAGTGATTTGTATAATTAGCAGAAAACCTTGTCAGCCCAAAAAAAGATTTCAATTGTTTATCCATGAAAATTATCCCGATCAATTTACACCAATAATAGCAACCACAGGCTTTGAATTCGAATTTTAAAGTTTCAAAATTTCCAAACTAAAGTTGGAACAATTTGCCATCAAAGAACCCAAATTACATTGAAAATCGGGCAAATGTCCGATTGATTAGCAAGAAAATTCAGACTTCAATTCATTTCCGAAAAATGGAATCAATTAATCATCTGAAATGTCTGTACTGTTGCTTTTTTCATCATTTAGCAGCTAAATTTTAGCTTCAGCGATTTACACATTTTTTTTATTGTTAACCTTTACCAATTAACAGATGCAAATTGAAATCTAATTAATCACTTTGCTCATAACGGCAAGTGTATGACGCCAACAAGTCTTGACTTGTTCAATTTTAGTTCAGACCTTTTATTCGATAGAATTCATTAGATTCAAGTGATGATCATTCTAGCCATTTGTGAATTATGATTAAACTTAACGGCCTATTTAAAAGTCTTTTTTTATCCTTAATCTGTTTCAACAAATGATTAAACCATTTCTTTGATTGCAACTGGTGAGATTTTAAATTGTTATCAATCTTTACCGGATCATTTATTGTACCAAATGATGACTTGGTTCAACTGAAAGAGCAACTCTTTGAATGCTAAAATGTTCAACTTGAACAATTGAGTCTATCAACATTGAGATTAGAGCGACAACAAGAAGAAAAAAAGAATCAAAAATATCCTTTTAATCATTAATAATAATTCATTTTACTCATTCAGTTGCTCATTTCCTTGTGAGCTCAACATTTTTCAATTAACTTGCAATGATTGATCAACAAGTAAAATTGATTGTTTTCAAAGAGCAACTTCATGATTTAATAAATCGCTTATGCAAATTGAAGGAAGAAAAAAAGATTTAAATTATTCCCTGAAAAAAAGCCATTTCAAGTTCATTTTTTCAGTCAAACCAAATCACAGAAAACAATTTTAAAAGTAAAGATTTGAAAGTGAAGTGAGCTTATCAAATCATCATTTATTAGTATTAATCATTTGAACAGTTGAGCGTAAAAAGAGTTTCAATCCTTTTTCACCTCATTTCTGGAAACTTTTACCCTGAACAATAAACAATGATAATTAAACTAACGGTAATAACAGTCAACCCTTAATTTAATAATGATAATTTATTGAGCGTTTTAAGAGAGAAAAAAAAAGATTCTCTTGAGTTGATTTTTTGGCTCGTTCAATGTTCAAACAACCAAATCGGTAGACAATTTTTCCGTTACTTTCAACACTTTAATTATTCACAATTTAACAGTTGTATTGATGACAGTAAATTGATGATTTTCAATTAAACCGAAAGACCTCTTCAATTGACCTGAAAATGGGAAAAAATTTCGAGATATTGCAATGAAACAATTTAATAATCTTTGTTGAATCTCTTCAGCTTTTTTGATGAATTAACTGGACAAAATTGAATTAAATTTGAAAACAATTTTTGCTACCTTTGAAGGTGTAATTGGTTAGTTTCCATTTTTATTAACTTTTCATTGATCATTTCAATCATTTCAACGTTTCTCTTGTTATTCAATGAACCCTGTCTAATGGCTAATGAAATGTTGCCTCCAAAACCATTTACCTTTGACCCAATTGTTTCTCACTTAATCTTTCATTTTATTGTCATCATCACCATTATCCTCATCAACAGCATCATCTTCACGTTCACTTCATCATCGTTTTCGCGTTCAATTCATTTTCATTTTCATCATCATTCCAATCATCTTTATTGTTGCCTTCTTTGATAAACCCCTTAAGCCTGACAATTTGTTTAATTCACCTCTTAATAGCGTTCATCATCAATCACAATTTAAAGTAGCCTTCTGTCAATGAGAAGAAAAGATCGCTTTTTTCGCTATTGTCTTCTGCTGACCAAAGAAGATACAAAAAGCTAATTAACTTGATAATAAAAATGTTAATCAAATCATCAAAATGCTTTTCACTTTTCAAGAAGTTCAGTTTGTTCTGTTCACGAGTAATTGATACTTGGTTTGCGTTTATTATGCCAATCAAGTTGAGAATGGAAGGAAAATTCATTTTTAAATGTAAAAAATTGAAGAAATCATTTTAGCCTTTTAATCAAATTTTTTTTTCTTAACCTGAGATTCTCATTGTTTCCCAAATTATCATAATTTCACCCAAATTTAACTCAATCATTAATCGTTTTGGTTTCGTTACGTTAAACATTGAGAACAGAATAATGAACAGAAAATCATTGTTACCCTTCTAATAATAAAGATAATAACGATAATGGTTATGATAGGGATGATTATGATACTTGGACTGTTGGCTGGTCATTTGGGTGAGTTGGCCCTTTAAAGGGGACAACAAGTAGGTTTACTTGTAGGAGTGAATAAGGTCAGTATGGGAAAGGCTCAGGAGTGTTGAGAGTTTTTCTGGTTTTTCTGGTGTTCATTCATTTCGTTGGCTTGTAAAAGGTTAACCTTGAAAGGTTTAATCAATGGCAATTATCCAAGAGTATTTGATTAACACTCTAATTAGTTGATCCAGTGAATTAAATTTAAATTGAACCCCAAAAAGTCAAATTAGATTAAAACAAACAAAATCTTTTTTTTCTCTGCTTTTCCCATTTTCAAAGTTGCTTTTTTTGGCTTCCAAATCTAACCTTCATTTTGAAAACCTACTAACCTGCCAATGAATCAATTGTTGATAGTCTATTAATAATTAGATGATCACGTAATTAGGTAATGGATATATTGGACATTAATTGTCCAAACCTTGGACCGTTTATTGATCGCTATTCGTGTTCCCATTTTGCACGTAAAATATGAAATTATTATTGATCAAGCTAATTGTCTGAACCTTTTTGGGTATATTTAATGGTAAAAGTCCGTTGATCCTTTTATGATCATTGCGTGTTTAAATGATATTATTACAGTTATTGGAATAGCTTTTGTTTTTAAACTTGATCAACAGTTAAATCATCTTGATGATAAACTGTTTTTTTTGCTGCTGCTGCTTCTGCTTGCTCAACAACCATTAACATTGACTGAACTTTAATGTTAGATATTTTTACCTTGACAAAAACCTTTCATTCAATAATCAATATTTAATCTAATTATTGAAACAATAAGCGAATGCAATTATTTGGTAAAGTCTGTAAAATGTTTAATTGTGAATAATTAGTAGTTTTTGCTTTTCTTGCCACTTCAATTGCACCTTTTCCCTTTCAATTTTTACGGATAAATTGTTTAGCTTCTTTAACTAATTGTTTAACTGGGATCAATTGAATTAATCAACCAACCATTTCAGATTGAGAATAATCTGTTGAATGATAGTTTTAGACAATTAACTTTGCTGTTGTTTTTCCCATTGAGAAAGTAAAAGCCTTTTACTGGCATATTAAGTCAATTGACGAGATTTCTTTTTCTGATTAAATCTGATTTTTCAGCGTTTTTTAGTTGTGATTTGTTTAAAAATTTTTGATCATTTGATTAAAAATTAAATTCTGTTTATTTAATGTAAAATTTAAGTTTAAATTGAGCGGTAAAAAAGAGATTTGACAAGATTGCCTGGGATTGGTTGGAAGTGAATATCAGATTTTGCCTTGTTTTTGGGTTAACATTTGCTGTTATCTTGATTGTGGCTGGTTGTTTATGAATTGTGTTTTCAATTGTTTCTTAACCATCTTTACCAACAAAATTTTTACAATTGTTGGTCTACCTTTGATTTGTTTACTGGATGATTGATGGTCTTTTATTATGTCTTGTTAACTATTAATTAAAGTAAGGTGTAGCTTATGGATGTTAGCAAGCAAAGAGAAACAAAATAATCTATTATTCAATGTGATAGGTAAACATAATAACAAAAGGTAATTGCAATCATAATCGGGTAAACAATTTGAAATATTATTTAATTAATTGACTAATGAACCTTGATCTAAGTGATTGGTTACAATTAATGGTTAATTTGTTTTTCACACAAAATGCTTGTTACAATTTGTTTGTGTCTAATACAGCTGCTATTGTTTCCATTGGTTTAATAGTCAACAAATGTTTACTAATGTGCTTGGTAAATAGAGATGCAAGAGTTGACTTTATTTGGGTTGCAGTTTCATAACAATTTAAACTTAATTTAAAATTTAATGCTACTAAATGGCTATTTAAGAATCACCTTGAGTTCACAGTTGATTGTGGATGAAGCCTTCATTTCTACCTTGATCTTACAATGTTAGGTGTTGAATTAAGTGAATGAGAAAAGGTTAAATCTAGTTTAGGAAGGTTTTCGTCAAGTTGAGCCATTGAATTTAATGAAAATAAGATCCATTATGTACTGTTTATTAGAGCATGTTTATTAATTCATTAATCTCCGAGTAGTGAATAGTACTAATAAGAACAGCTCACAATACCATGATTACCAGGTAAGACAGCCTTGATTAACTTTCGCCTTTAAGATAATTAGAACGTTTTGGTAGATGCTATTGTCGTTTATGACGATGACGATGATGATGATGATGATTCTATGTTATATTATACTTTGATATAACTGTTTTCTTGAAGCACATCAATCTTAACCTCTTCCTTCTTCCTTCCGTTTAAACAACAAGAGGCAGCAACAATGAAAAAGGAGAGCAACAAATAGACAAAACAAACTTGCAAACAGGTTTAACGATGCAAAGCAACAAGTCAACAGTTAATTGTCTCCACAATACCAAACTTTGATAATAAATGAAATATTTTTTATTTATCCTCATCGATGCATAGTAATCGAGGCATTTATCGTTGCTAGAGTGGTAAAAAAAGTTGTAGACAAAATGGATAAGCACATCAGAAACATCAGCAATGAAAAAAGCCAAGTATTGAAGTATAAACTTTGTTGCTGTTAATGTTGATGGCACCTTTGTATCTGATGGTGATGAAGATGATGGTTGAAATTTACGGATCTATCAGACAACCATGAAAATGAATCATTTGATGGTTGTGGCTTGTTGTTTAGGTTTAACGGTACTGATTATTGTTGTTGGAAGGTCTTTGCAATGAACGAGAAATCGTTTGATTGTGGTAACATTGAAGCAAGACGGAAGTTAACGGGAAAACCTTTTCTCTGCAACTGGGTAACTGTAACTTTGACTTTTTCTTGATTCTTCTTGTTCGTATGTACAGCGTTTAAATTGGCAATCAACAACTGAATAATCTTTTGATCAATCTTTTGATAATCCAACCATCATAATTAATTTACTTGTTGTAACCGTGATTGTTTCATTTGTAAAGACTTATTGATGTCCAAGTTAACGAGTTTGATCTTTTACCTGTTTCAATATAAATCAATACAACAAGCATTAGTGTAACATGAATGAAAAAGGTCATACTTTTACCCTCCAATTCAATGGTGCAAATCATTTCGGGCCTAAACTGTTAAATTGATTGAAATGGGGTCAAAATTTGACTATAATGGATAATTTTACAATCAAAATGTTTGAAGTAAAGTGTTCATTACATGTTAATCTTAAAATGTTTCCATTAGTTTATCAATTTAACATAAACAGTTAGCAATGAAGAAAGGTTGATAAAATAAAAATGAGAGAAAAAATAATGATAACCAAGAAAAAAAGTAGAAACTAAACCAACAATAGGCTGAGAAAAAGAGAGAGAGTTAAACTTTCCGTCTTTTTATCCCTAAAATGAGCTCAATTTATTGAAATTTCGGGTATACAATATCATGATTACCATTATTATTACCTTCATTATTATTGTTATTAGAGGGACAAGAAACAAAAAAAAATATAATTTACCTTAACATTATGATAATCATTTCGGTAAACAGGCAATCATCCGGTAAACACTGAAAGTGAATGAAATGGTCAGTAGAACGGGATTATATTGGAATGATCATTACTTAATGATTGTCAAGTAATATCCATTATACAGCTGTCAATGTCCACTAATAATAAAAAAAATTAATAATGTAAATCCATTACTAAAACCATATTAACCAAGATGGAAGTAGAAATAGCGCCAAAACAACAAGCCATGACAAATTAATCAGCCGTTAGCTTATTAGTTTGTCTCTCAATAACCAGATGGAGATGGTTGAGCTTGAGATTTTTTGAGATTTGAAATTAAAGTAAACTCGATGAAATAATTAGATTATATCGTTCAAAGTAATTCAAAGTTTTTCAATTTGTTTAATCCTGTGATCGAGATGATTACTGTTTTAACACTTGCAGTAGTCTATAACTGTTCAATGTTGGATCCATCAATTGTGTTGGGACTTGCTGTTTGAAAATAAATGGTAGCTGTTGTTGGTTTTACATGTATTCATCAATCACAATGGTTCAATCATCATCTTTGATTTGAATTGCAATCAATGGTGAAGTAAAAACTTGAAGTCATCAAAAGATTGGTAATTGATTGAATATTAGCTTCCATTGTAATCAGTGAGATGATTAAAGGTGAGGAAAAACTGATGGTTTTATGATGGTTTTACGATGTGATGTACAATATGATTGTATTATTGTAATTGGTAAAGAAGCGGCCTTATTGATACATCATTGAATTGTTTGTTTAGGTGATTAAAGTGAAAATATTGAGGTTAATTTACCTCAATTGGGGGACAATAAACACCAAGTGAAAGAAATCAATTCATCTTGTGGCCAACTCTTTCATTTACAATGTTAACATGCCATGACTTTACCATAAGATCACACAGTGCAACCCATAAGATAGTGACTTGAATGCTTCTTTAAAATTGTAACCATTTCTCTCAATTTACTTTGATTGTGTGTTTTTAATAACAGTTACACTTTTATTGTTACCATAATAATTAACTCTGTGGTTGCTAATTATCGTTAAAACTGATACAAAAAGCTTTCAATCATTTGTCTGTCAGCAAGAAGCGTAATAAAGCGCAATACACATGAAAACCCGATTGAAATTGTGTTGAAGTCAATAAGATTGAAATTGATTATCTCATGCAAACATTTAATTTCAAAACTGTGTTCAATGTTCATTACTATTGAGAAAAGAATAATTTTTATTGATCTTTTCAATCCTTTGGTTGAGGGAATCAAAAGATGATTACAAGTAAAGGTTTCGTTTCAATATAAAATATCTTTTTCACTATATTAGTTAAACTAACCATTAAATCCTGGTTACATTATAATCATGATCATCAATTTGATTACCAACTGAGGGTAAAACATTATTGAAGCTTCATGGGATATTTGGCTAAACACATTGTTTCGAGTCAACATTTTTGTTAACCTTAACCAAATGGTAAACATTAATTGTAAATCCAATTGATGAAGCCATCTTTTGATCATAATCACTTAACCTGTCAACAGCAATATAATAAGCATAATTATCAATAGAAAAGACAGTCAAATGAAAAGTGAATTATGTCAATCAAGAGATGCTTTCAATGGTGAAATGAATGAATAAATGCTGATCAAGACAATTGTCAATTCGTCAACTTGAGTCGCTTAATGATTAACTCTAATTGCTTTACTTTAATTTCTTACTATTTAGTCATTGGAACAAGAGAAACATGCACTTCGTCGGAAACTGGACAATCTGGAGGGTGAATATGAGGGACGAGTCAGTGAATATCAAGCCGATTTGACTGCACTCAAGAAAGAGCTTAATGACCAGCAGACTACATTGAAACAGTATGAACGGGAAAAGGGTAAAATGGTTCAAGAATTGATGGAACAGAATCACAGGTTAACAACAGAATTGAAACAAGTAAGTGATTAATTGGTGTTTATTGATTGCTATTTTATCCCAATCAATGGGTCAACATTAAAAATAATTGAAATTAACCTTTTAAATCTAAAGATTGACTTTACTGTCTTTGAGTAGTTGATTGAAGTCTTGCTTTGTTTTGGATACTCCAATTTTAACACATTCAGACTATTAATACACTGTGATAATAACAGTGAGAAGATGATTATGATTATGAGTCTAATAATTGCAATTAATTGGGAATGCTTATCATTTACCGATATAAATTACAATTTTAAAAAAAACCCTTTGGGTTATCAAGTGTTTTATTAATACAGAATGGAAAGTGAATATTGATGAAAACTAATGTTCATTATGATGGTGACTACTATTGGTTATTAAAAATATTGATTGGTTCACCCAAAATCAATTGAAACTTGACCTAAGGCAATCTTAGTTAACCTTATATCCACCTTTATCATTTGGACCATTAAATGATATCTTTAACCTTTATCCGTTTTTATCCAGCAAAAATGAATTTCCATTCTCACCTTCATCAACTCTTTAGCCGTCTTAAAGGTTTGACCTGTAAGAACTAAAAATATTGCCAAAAATGGCATTTTACAGTTTACTTGTTTACTGTAACCTTCATTATCATCCTTTCATCATAATCATAAACATCAACATTATACTCTCTGTTATCCAATTGGTTGTGTTTAATAATTTAAAAATTGCACTCAATCAGTTGGCTGGTAGCCATTGGTTGTTGAGCTCTCTTCAAATCAGCCGTTACTTTTAAGCTTTCACCATTGTCTTTTGTTTTCACCATTTCATCTCTTTTCGTCTTTCACCTCATCTCGTTCATTTTATTTTATTTTAATAATTACCTTTTTTTAATTGTGGTCATCTTCAGGCATCCGAATCGGAGGAACAATTGTCAAATCAATTATTGTCCCTACGTGAACAGTTTAACGCGCGCCGTTCCAATCTTAACGACCACGTTGCCCAAATGGAAGGATTAAGAGAAGAAGTAAGTAATATCGTCTGCGTTTTTTTCACCTCGCTTTTGTCTTTTGCTGTGTTTACTAATCTTGGTGCTTTTAATTTGTTTGTCTTAGATTATTTTACTGAGTAAACGCAAAAGTGATTTAGAAAAAAGAATAAGTGCCCTTAACGAGGAGAGAGAACAGATTAGCTTGGCCCTTGAAGAATCAAACGAAAGGATATTAATGTTGGAGAAAACGAATCAAGATCAAACCATTACAATCAACAATTTACAAAGGGAATTGGAGGAAGCCCGAGTGATTAATGATCAATTGAAACATAAAATGGACCATTATGGGTCAACGACTAACACACCTAATTGTAATGGAACTGGTAATGGTGGCGGGCAACCAACATCACTGTATAATGAGATTGAAATGTCCTCATCCTCATCAATTGAGGATGATCTTAAATCTAATCTTAACTTGGATGAAGATATCTGTGATTATTCAAAGGATCTTGATGAAAATTGGAAGGTAAATTATCTTATGCAAATCAATTGATTGATCCATATTGCCTTGTAATGGTTAAATTATAAATGATGGAAGATATTTTAACCTTCATACTAATTTATCTTCATCTATCAAACAAACAATTTTAACCTTTTCTATCCCAAGTAAGGTGTTTAAATTTGTATTTAATTTTAACCAGCAATCAGTTGTGGGTCAAGGTTTAGATCTAATTTTTTTTATAAAACACGCTCTAACCGATACAACAATCAAACATGACAAAAGAAATCATGATAATCGATCAATGATTAGGAAATTTAATTTAATGAGCAATGAAATGCGTGGAATTAACTCCTGCAATTTGATTGCTAAATAGAGTCAACAGTACAATCTATTAGTCGGCTGGAAATTTTATCAAATTAAAAGTGCAAACATTTACAGTTAACTGTATTTCATGAAAAAAACAACAGTAACGGATAATGTTAGTTTCCTTAAACACTTTGATAAGCTTGTTGGTTGTAATAATTGAAATTGATCATTAGTGTAAATTATGAAGAAAGGTAATTGAAGGTAATCATAGAGCGAAAATTATAGCTGAAGATTATTTAAAAGCTATTATATTGGTAAAGGTTAATTACAATTGAACCCTTTACAAGCAAATATATCTTTCATAATCTGGGAAATTTTCACATCTAATCTGTTATTTTTCTTAATTTTTTCACACCAACAGAATGGCCAAGAATTGTCTGAATTATATCATGAATTACGTCGCATGTGTCAAGATCTTCATCGTCGCCGTGAGAATAGTGGTCATTTTAATTCAACCGGAGACTCAGGTATACCGGCAACTCCTGAAGATATCAACTGTAACCATGTGAGGCCGGGAATGATTTCAGCTGCTTTCAAAGAGTACAAACAATTACTTGAAGAGATGGATGATTTGGTATGTATTTGATAAAGAAATTAAATGATTATTAATATTTATAATCTGTTTGAGTTTTTGATTAACACTAATTTGATTTTTGTTTTTTATTCTTACAGCCTTGTGTCTCATGTCAATCAATTGCCAGTGAACGTTTACAGTTAGAAAAGATGGCCAAAGAAGCAGTTGAGAGGGATGATGAAATTAAGCGTAAAAATGATGAATTGATGAAGATGGCAACTCAAATGACCATTTTAGAAACTGAATTGAAAGCTGTTAAAGAAGAAAGAGATTATCTTAAAGAATCAGTTGATACTGACGGTGTAATGGGTAAAGATGAGCTTGTTAAAAGAGCTTGGGAACTTCGAGATCAAGCAGTTGCAAGAAAGAATGCCGTTGAAATTGAATTAGCCAAAACACGAATCGAATGTATGCACATTAATAGTCAATTAATGGAAGCAATCCAACAAAAGATAACATTATCACAACAATTGGAACAGTGGCAGGTAATTACCATTTTTTTCATCTCCAAACTTTGACCAATTCTAAAGGATAAATGATGGACAGTAAAGCTTTTCCATTCAATTGGACTTCTAAGAAAATGTAGTTTTTTTTATTGTTTCACATTGAAGCATATTTCTCTAAACGATTAGCTGTCATTTGATTTAAATTTTCAATCACCTTTCATCAACTTTTCCTTTATTTCCTTCTCTATGCTAATGTTTTGAATTAATTATAAAATTTCTCTTACACTCTTTCATAGGTTGATATGCAAAGCTTACTGGATGAGCAACTCAAAAATAAACTTTCAAGCCAAGAAAAGGAAGAGAAACGTCGCCAAGCAGAATCTCGAAATTTAAGTCCAATCTCAGCGTCAACTCCAAGCCTGGTTAACAAAACAAAGCTTTTAAGATTGTTTCGAACGGCAAATTAAATATGTTCAATATGTATATATATAATAATGAAAACAAAATATTGTAATAAATGAATACAAATAAATGTACACATGATTTTAACTGTAGATAATCAGTTAGATTGTTGTTTACTTTTAATTGTTTCAGTTTAAAGTCAAAAAGGAAGTATATTGAGGAAGGAAATGATTAGTTAAGGCATTTTGGCTGATTGACTGAGCGGTGGTTGATTGTATTGCAAGGCGTTTATCGTGAGTTCGTTGGTGTTTCTTTAGATGATCCTTGCGACCAAATCGCTTTGAGCAAATTGAACATGAAAACGGCCTTATACCAGTGTGAATCCGTCGATGTCGAGTTAACTCTTCATTACGAGTGAATGTTTTCATACAATTTTCATGATCACAAACAAATGGACGTTCACCTAATCATCAGAAGGATAAAAATAAGAATCAATCAATTACTTGAAACTAAGCTCTTCAAGATTTTCATGTGTTTACGGTTTAAACTGGGGAGATAAGTTAAGCAACAACGAACTTAATCCCGTACAAGTAAATTGAATAATAATCCCGATTGAATGAACTTGTAATTGGTTGATGTAAATCAATGAGCAACAAACATACAAAAAGCTATGAAATTAACGAAACAAGAAATGCGAGTTTTTTTGTTTAAATCGCAATCTTTTTATCGAAATGTTTAGTATGAAACAATTTACTTGGAATTTAGCAATTTTTTCAGATCACTCGAGAGTCTCGAGACTAAAAGGCAAATTACTATAGGAATTGTATTGTAAGCATTTATGATCATGTAAAGTTTATAACTCAATAAAATGAAAATTGGCTTAAATTGATTTACTCACAACATTACAGGCTTTTATAAATCAAACTCATATAATAACGGAATCTCTATTTAGTCATTGTGATTGTTATGAATCTGCATTTAATGTACTAACCTGTATGAGTCCTTATGTGTCCTCTGAGTTGTCCGTTATTTGAAAAGGCAACTTGACAATGTGGACATTTAAATCTCTTTGCTCGCTGCTTTTTTTGCGGCACATTTGATGCTGATGAAGATGCATTTTGATGGTGATGATATTGATGTGGAGTAAACACATTTAAACTATTATAATATGGTTGAATCAATTGAGAGCAACACATTGACTTTGATAATGAAGATGGTGATGATAGTGAAGATGAAGACGAAGAAGGTGGATGAGACAAGGTTGATGAGGGAAACGATGAAATTGATGAGTTTGACGAGTTTGATGAAGATGATGATTGATCCCAGGGTCTAAAAATATGTACATGACCATCAACACCTGACATTTTTAGTGACAGACAAAAGACTGGGACAAGTAAAAAAAGGATTATCAAAAAATATTTGAAAATATTTTGTAAAAAATGGGAAAAATAACTTGGTCCGTTCACTTGAAAGTAAATGAAAATGAAAAATTAATACATTTTTTTGGGTTCCTATTCACAAAGGTTTGGCCTATTTGAACTTCACGGGTTAGCAAGGAGGAGCTTGAAACATCCTATAGCTAATAATAATATGATGAGGATGAGGATGGGGACAGAGATGAAGGTGCACGACACCCACGTTTCCAAATTTGAGGGCCTAACCATATTAAATATTACAACTTTGGTGATTACTTGAAAACTTGGGTAAACCTTAACGATAACAAAAAACGCCAACCATTCCTATTTGCTTCATCATCTCAATATGACTTTTACTGTTTGCCTTGTCCTCCATCATCCTAGTCTTACTTTCCTTCTCTATGCTAATGTTTTCAATCAATTATAAAATTTCCTTTGACACTCTTTCATGGGTTGATATGCAAAGCTTACTGGATGAGCAACTCAAAGATGAACTTTCAAGTCAAGAAAAGAAGGAGAAACGTTGCCGAATCTCGAAATTTAAGTCCAATCTCAGCGTAAATCCAAGTCTGGTTGACGAAACAAAAGCTTTCAAGATTTTACCGAATGGCAAATCCTTTCATTGCACTTTCATATCTAAGGAATGGTAACGACTAAAATGATGATTCTTTGCCAATCATTTCATTTTATTACATGCTATAATAAAGCTATAAGAGCTGAATACCAAAGAGATTTGGATCAACCTTTTGTGGCCAACTCTTCTTTACCGATAAACCTTTCATTATAACTCGAAAGACTAAAAATTTGCTGTAAACCAAACCTTTAATTAGTTTAATCATATGAGCTTGTTCAGTCTTGAATCACTTTATTATCATCTCTGTTTTTTTGGGCCTTTATCTTGTCTCTCTCTCTCTCTAATTTTGTTTCACCATTTTTGACCCTTTTACCCGTGAAAATGAGCCTTGCTTCCTGCCCATTAACTATTCATCTCTTCTCGCCCCTCATCTTTAATCATTTTCAAGCTTATCTCCTCTATTGATTGAACTGTAGCAATATATCATGTAAATGGTGAGATTAAAAAAAACTTAAAATTATAATATTTTTGTGCTTTTTGATCTGCTATTAAATTGATCATCATCAACATGCTAACAAGACTAACAAGTAACCCTGCTGATGTTTAGTTCAAGCTTTACAAGTAAGAAAAAAAGGATCAACAAATTATTTAAATCAAGGTGCTTGGAAAGGAAAGACGATGATGAAAAAAGGAAGATCCAAATTTAGTCAATCATTTAATTCATCATCACAGATAAATAGCTTTGTTACCACAGCGGGATGCTGATGGCAACACACTCGGTGGTCAATTCAACATAACATAAACTACACCTTCTTTTTTGGCTCTAAAAATTTCTTCAACTCTGCCAGTCATTAAAATACATACATGCAATACACACTCAATGCATTGAAAATAAAATCAAGTCGCTAGGTCATCAGCTAGGTAATCGTTAGACATGGACTGATCCCTACTGTAGCTGCCTTCACAACTGTTTCCTTATGTGTGACTTTGTCTTTACTTTTATGCTTTTAGCGTCGGTCAAAAGTTGTATCACATTCCAATTGAATTCTTCATCCTTTCCATTTCTACTCTTCATCTGGATTCAATGATTACGATAAACTGTTACCTTGCTAACGATAATTTGTTGGTCTTGTTGTTTATATCGGTAAATGATAAGAATTCCCAATTAATTGCAATTATTAGACTCATAATCATAATCATCTTCTCACTGTTATTATCACATTATCATAGTCTGAAATGTGACAAAATTGGAGTATCCAAAACAAAGCAAGAAAAGGACCAACTAGTCAAAGACAGTAAAGTCAATCTTTAGATTTAAAAGGTTAATTTCAATTATTTTTAATGTTGACCCATTGAAAGGGATAAAATAGCAATCAATAAACGCCAATTAATCACTTACTTGTTTCAATTCTGTTGTTAACCTGTGATTCTGTTCCATCAATTCTTGAACCATTTTACCCTTTTCCCGTTCATACTGTTTCAATGTAGTCTGCTGGTCATTAAGCTCTTTCTTGAGTGCAGTCAAATCGGCTTGATATTCACTGACTCGTCCCTCATATTCACCCTCCAGATTGTCCAGTTTCCGACGAAGTGCATATTTCTCTTGTTCCAATGACTAAATAGTAAGAAATTAAAGTAAAGCAATTAGAGTTAACAAGCTGAGACACGATCATGACTGATCGTAAATTTCTTTTAACCACCTATGCTAACCGTCTTTTCACGGTATTGTCCACCACCCAAATCCACCAAATTTTTGACCACTTCTCGGGATATGATGGTAATTAATAGTGGATGTGCTAGATGGTTTAAAAGTGGTCAACATGATTAATTAAAAAAATAAAAATAAAATAATTTTCTCAGAATCTGAGTTCGAAGTGGTAGAGAATCTTATAAAAATTTGTTTGCAAATGTGGCGGAAAAAAGTGGTGGAAAAAGCCACTCTAAAGTGATAGACAATTTTGTTGAGAAAAGTTTTTTTAAAAAGTGATTTTGTTGATTTGGTAAATGTGTTGGATTGAGTGGTGGACAATATGGTGAACAATACGGTGAAAAACCGGTAAAAAAACTGGTGAAAAAAGCCGGTCCCCTCTTTACTCTTTACTCAAATGACAAAGTTTTACATAAAATCCTGGTCCAACAATCAACCATCAACCTGAATAACAAAAAAGTTTTTCCCCCTCTCTCAATGTTATTGGATACGGATTCTACATTTTTTCCCCCATTCTCTATTTTCATGAATTTCTCAGAGGTCATGAGATTCTGAGGTTAGGTTTTCTATTTTTCGTCGTTGTAGTTGAATCAGGGCTTTCAGACTGTGTAACTTTTTTTCTTGGAACCCGCTCCGTTTAGCCACAATCTTGACGCAAAAATTTGATACTTTGACTTTATATATTGTATAGATCATTAGGCGACTCGAGTTGACGAATTGACAATTGTCTTGATCAGCATTTTATTCATTCATTTCACCATTGAAAGCATCTCTTGATTGACATAATTCACTTTTCATTTGATTGTCTTTTCTATTGATAATTATGCTTATTATATTGCTGTTGACAGGTTAAGTGATTATGATCAAAAGATGGCTTCATCAATTGGATTTACAATTAATGTTTACCATTTGGTTAATGTATACCATGATACCATGGTATTTATGGTCAATCTTTCTTGTTCAACGAGCAATCTATTAATATACAAACATACAACATTTGAAGCGAAAGCAACGATTGTGGCTTACTGTAACAACGAAAACTAGGTTGAGCTTTCTAGGAATTCAGGTTCTTGAGAAAACCATGCTCAACATGGTGAAGGTGAACAGAATCCGTTTTCTAAATTTTGTAAAAAGGCAAAAATTATGTTTTATTTGATGACCAACAACTGGAACTATGCTGCCAATGAGTCGACAACACCGGTTGACTCGTCGACTGTGCCGCTTTTCCTTCGAATCCTTTTGTCTGATCCTCGAATAGGTTGTGGTATGTCTGCTTGATTTAATGGATAATGACGGATAAATTTGTAACTTTCAGCCAACACATAAAGAGGTTTGTTGAAAGCTTTAGCACATAATGCTAAAGGATAAGTTCCTATTTTATTGATTATACCTCCATTCTCAACAACACCATCAGCACCAACCATAACCATGTCAACCTTTTCAATAAAATGTCCAATGGCAGCGTCAAGTATTAGTGAACATTGGATTCCATGAGCTTTCAATTATACATTATTTCCCCACTGTTGTCAGGTGCAGATTTAGTAACATACACACAGAAACGTTTCCCAAGTTTCTTAACAAACAAAAAAGTCTCTAAAACAACTGGTGAATAAGAGTGAACCAATATATTAGATCCTTCGTAAATAAATGGATGCCCATATTTAACAATCTTTTGTGTACAGTTTACAACCTTATCCAAAAACAGATTACCACGTAATTTAAGGGCTTTTCTCATTTCGTCGATAGACTATGTAAAAGAGAAACATTCAAAATTACAATCTACACAATGTGTAAATTAAATAATTTTTTTTATACTGTTATTTAGTATAATATACGCATTATAAATTAGACATGAGGTGAATATTATTTTCAAATATTTAATTTACAAAGATTGAGAAGCTGTACAATTGAGCGTTCCTTCCTTCTCCAAGACAAGTAGTCTCCAATCAATCAGCCATCGCTAGTAACTATTGGGCAATCAATTGTCAACCTTTGGTATCAGATTCGATAACAAAAAGGTAACTACTTAATTGTTGATTCAGCACTTCTGAGATTCCACACATAAGAAGATGGCGAACTTGAATCTCTTCTTGCGCGGAGATTCCATGAGAGCTAGCACATAACATTCTTCTTTATGTGGAGAACTCATTAGCTATGCAATGGCGTCAAGAACTCTCCACACATGAAAAGTGCTTGTGTCTCTGCAAATTTACTTGTGTTTACATAAATAATATGCGCAATAATTACTAAGTTGATTCGATTACCCTTGGATGAAGATGTTGATGGCAAGGCCAAAGATGGCCTTCTGTTCTTGTATGAGTCTCAGAAGTGCTGAATCAACAATCAATTTGGTACCTTTTTGTTATCAAATCTGATACCAAAGGTTCACAATTGACTGTTGATGCAGCACTCTTCTTCAACCAGGAGAATCAACGAGAGCTTCTTCTTGAACACTGCTAAGAGGACGACAATAGGAGTGCTGGATTTCAGCTTATGGATTCTCGACCAAGAAGAGATTCATGTTCTTTGTTGAGTCTCATGAGTGCTGAATCAACAACCAATTTGGTACATTTTGTTACCAAATAACTTTTTTTCGCTTCAACGAATTCTTCTGCGGTTGACCATTGGATGCAGATGTTGATGGCAAGGCCAAAGATGGCTCAATGTCGTCGTCTTCAGACGAATATATAACTTTTTTTCGCTTCGGCAAATTCTTCTGCGGTTGACCCTTGGATGAAGATGTTGATGGCAAGGCCAAAGATGGCTCAATGTCTTCGTCTTCAGACGAATATATAACTTTTTTTTCGCTTCGGCAAATTCATCTGCGGTTGACCCTTGGATGAAGATGTTGATGGCAAGGCCAAAGATGGCTCAATGTCGTCGTCTTCAGACGAATATATTACTTTTTTTGCTTCGGCAAATTCTTCTGCGGTTGACCCTTTGATGAAGATGTTGATGGCAAGGCCTTAATAATTTTGGCCGTTTAATAACATTAAGTAATAATAACCATTTGTGGACAATAATTTCCATTTAAATTAACTAAAATTTAGTTAAACTAATGATCAAATAAGGATAAGTCCAATTGATGAAGCACTATTTCCAGTTATTTTCAAGTTACTGGAGTCATTAGAGTCTTACATTCAACTACTGTAAATAATCCTCTAGTTAAAAGCAAGTATTTGTTGCCTTTCTGACCATTGTTAAGAATATGAAATAAGATAGAGAAATAGACAGAATAAAGAAAGAGAATAATAATTTGGATTATTTCTCTTTCTCAATTTGAACACTTTTTTGCCTATTACATTGCCTATTACATTTGCCTAAGAGGACGACAAGAGGAGTGCTTGATTTCAGCTTGTGGATTCTCGACCTAAGAAGAGATTCATGTTCTTGGTTGAGTCTCATGAGTGCTGAATCGACAACCAATTTGGTACCTTTTTGTTATCAAATCTGATACCAAAGGTTCACAATTGACTGTTGATGCAGCACTCTTCTGCAACCAGGAGAATCAACGAGAGCTTCTTCTTGAACACTGCTTAAGAGGACGACAATAGGAGTGCTGGATTTCAGCTTATGGATTCTCGACTCAAGAAGAGATTTATGTTCTTTGTTGAGTCTCATGAGTGCTGAATCAACAACCAATTTGGTACATTTTGTTATCAAATCTGATACCAAAGGTTCACAATTGGATTGTTGATGCAGCACTCTTGTCATGTGGAGAATCCATGAGAGCTGAATCAAAGAAAATTACTTTTGTTAGCAATTCTGAGATCCATTGATACATGTATTTCGTACTAGAGGTTCTGGCGACAGATGCGAAACATTCGGTTTATTTTCCTGCAAGACATTCTGGTAGTTTTCGACTGCTGAAATTACAACCGAGACATTCGATGTCATCCCATGCAATTTCTCTCCATCTGTTGTTGTCATAACACGCAGGACATTATATGCGAGGATAAAAAACAGAAAATTAGATTATTTTTTACAGAAGGATTTAAAGAATGATATGTTAGAGCACTCAAGAGTCTGTGTGTGGAGTCGCAAGAGTGCTAAATCAATTACAGAAACACATACAGCTCGCAAATGGTTCAGTTGTTTAATTAAAACAAGCAATTTGTATTATACATTAGAAGATTTTCATGGACTTTCATGAAAACAGTACCGTTTGCAATCTACCGAATTGATCAATGACAAAGAAAAAACAAAAAAGCGGTCGTCTTATGTTTTAAGTCCCTGAAAACAGAAAAAAAAGAATTTAATGATTCCATTTAAAATTATTCTTTTTTCCAACATTGTTTAACTTTGATGGAATAGATGGACAGTCAAACGTTGAATCAGTGGTACTTCATTAATTCTTAATCCAGAAATTTTTTTTACAGATACAACTTTTTTCTGTCTGATGATGAGTAGGAAAAAAGTTCGATAATATGTGTCGGTTAAGCTTCTATATTATCGTCGGTTAAGCTTCTATATTATCACGAATAACCAGAATACTATTATAGATTCTGACAGCAGGTCCTAATTTAATACCAAGATGAGTGACCAGATCAGTTTGATTGAGGAGTAAAAATGCTTCACCATCGATCATCTGGATCAAGAGATAGAGCAAATGAGGTTAGAATGGAAGTTAAGGAAATGTGTAATCAAATTAGAAAAGTAGAAACTTTGAATAAAATTAAAAGCACATTGATATAATCACCTCATCTTCGAAACACCGACCAAAATCTTGGCAACCTGGAATTTGGAATGATTACTTGGAGAACTCATATTTCCACAATAAAATTAAAAATCCAATCTTCCAACTGGGTCTATACACCATGCAAAAACTAAATAAAAAGCTGACAATAGAGCGGTTACAGTGGGTAAAATTGTCGTGGTTTCTTTAAATTAAAGTTAATCATAAATATCCCTCAACTAATAGTTTAACCAAGGTTTAATTGTTGAGAAATCAGTTTGATTGAATGGAAGTTAAAATATTTAAAAATTAAATTATGCAGATTTTATGTAAGTTTCTGAAATTTCGAATGGTAAATTCGACAACTCCGGTCTATTTTCAATTACAACAGGCATTCTTTTGAAGATCACAGAATATCGAGAAACCGATTGAATCAAACATTCATTTTATCAAGAAATCTTAAAAACTGTAGATCTCAGGAAAACAGAATCAGTTTTGATGAGAAGCTTTTCAACTTGAATCAAACTGACTGTCGGTCAACGATGATCAAACTTACAATTGTTTATGGATCAAATGCAGACAATCTCTCAAGTATCGCCATCTAATGAAGCTTTTTAGAGCTATTACACATCAAAGCAAACAGTTAAATATTTTCAAACTATTGATTAAAAATTTTCATTTGACTTGTAGTCAAACTATTGGCACTAGAGGTGGGCGATTACATCGATTATAATCGATTAGTTCAAATAAAATAATTATCGATTAGACAAAAAAGTTAATCAATTAGTTAATATGCAAAATCTAGCTATACAGATGTATTAGCTAGTGAAGTTTTAGTTTTTTTCACGTCGAATTTATTGCGAATTCTCAGTGAATTCATGTTTTTTTGAAGTTTTCTTTCTTTTTGTCGATTAATCGATTATCTGATGAAATTTTTGATTATAATCGATTACCTGATTATCAACTAATCGCTCACCTCTAATTGGCACTTTAATAATTTTCCAGATTCATGGAAGTTGATCAATTTTACTAATGAAGTTAAACCTCGTTAATTTGCGTGAATAAATCTTTCTTACAATTCATTTGAGTTAAGAATTAATGATTTCTACAAGTTTAAATATATCTGATATAAAATGCTGTGACTTTTTTATATCCTATTAGTATCGTTGAAATATAATCATCAAGTAGTGTGATCAAATTATCATTAATTTCATTAATAGATTTCATTTGATTTGCAAGTAAACTCATTAGCAATAAACTTGGAAAGTGATGTTCAATTGTATCGATTAGACAATCAAAAACGAAAGCCTCTGAGGTTTAATTAACTTAAAAAATCAGTATTTGAGTCAATTTCTGTCTCGATGCAAGCTCATCATGAGAATGTAAAATGTTATTTCAGAATTAAATATTTCTATTGTCATTCCTTGGTAGCTACACAAGCAACATTGTACATCCAATGGAACCGTTGAGCGATTCTCATCCCAAGCAAACATTTCTCTTGTCGAACTTTCTGATCAGAAAACAATTCTTTTGGCTAAAATATTTACCTTTACCCATTCCATGGTACAATCGAATCGTGTTGACCTTTGGCTCGCTTGTTCACCTAAGCTTTCTGATCAGGATTTACATTTACAATTTCGTACCCCTTGACCCACTCCTAGCTCTTTCCATCGGCGATTTCGCATACGATTTGGTTCCCATTCACAATATAATTTGGTTTGTTCATGCTTTCTGGTGGGCAGGTTCAGTCTTTACTTTTCATTTGCTGAATAAAACGAACAATTCGGTGAAAATGCAAACTTGGTTTACTTGTCTGTCAATCTTGGAAGATGGAAAAGATGATTTTTTCGACAAACCAAACGATAAACTGGTTCACGTATCAAAGCTCTACTTTTTCAATGCTAAATCCACGCTTCTCGCTGGTCCGACATTTTCCTTTTGCATGTTCATTCCACACATGATTAACCATTATTCGAACGTCCCATTACTGATTGTAATCGTTATTCATGCACTGATCACTACTGTAGCTGCCTTTACAACTGTTGTCTTGTGTGTTACTATGTGTTACTTGTTTGGCTTTTATGCTTTCCTTGTTGGTCAAAAGTTGCATCAAATCGCCGAAACGTTTAAAACTCAAATCGATCAAGTGATTAAATCTAATCGAAAAATTTTAGCAAACTCTAGCAGATTCCTTGGCTTGCTGAAAGAAGCACATTATGCCAGCTATTTTTGGTCAAAATTGAATTCCTGTGCATTCATCAATACATTTTTCCCTCAAATTTTAATCTTGTATTCGGTTTGTTTTGTCCCATTGAACAAGATTCATTTCATTTGTCTTGTTGGACTTGGAACACTAAACTTTGCCTGTGGACTATCAGTTAATTTCCTTGGTGGAGCTTATGCAAGATTAAAGGTTGTATTTTGCGTGTATTAGTTGATTTCAACAAATTTCGGGAAAATTTTGTTCACATTTTTCGTATTTATTTACAGCTTAACCACTGTCAAAAGCAATTGCTTCGAGTGATCATTTTAAAGGGCGATAAACTCAAACTAAATCATAAGCTAAAACTGCTGACTACTTCTGAATACTTGTTGAACAGGAAACTGTTTGCCATGTTTGCCTCTCTAGAAATGAATAGCTTCAATTACTTAATGGTAAGCAGATATTGAGCTTAATTGTAATTTCGTTCAATATTTCATGTCAAATATGCTTATTTCCATAGGTGTTCATCGAAATGGCCGCTCATTTAATGCTTGTCATTGTCAATGCAAATCGCAAGTGCTGTTAGATGTTTAAAGTGAACGGTAAAGATATGCAAGATCGGAAAAAACACGGATGATGCACTTCTAATTGAAAATTGATTTACTTACAAATCCAAATTCAAATTATCTTTTGTTTTGCAGTAAATCAGGATAGACTAAAAAATATTAACTAATTCCAATTCCAAATACATTGATTCATTGAACAACCCTGTTTCGTTTGTGCTACGTTTTCTTCATTGATATGAAATGTATTCAAAAGCTTTAGATTTTTGCCCCCATTAAATATAATTGATTTTTCATAATAATCATGATTTTATAAGAAAAGCATTTTGTCTCTAACAAACATCTTCTAAGGCGAAATCAAAGAGTAATATGTAACATATCAGCTATAATACTCTTTGGGCGAAATACAAAACGTCGCAACAACAGAAAGTAAAAGCAATAAACAGAAAAAGAAAGGCAAAAGATTGACAAATGGTATATGATAATTTTGAGCCACATCATCATTTTTTATTTCTTATTCGTTTCTATCATTATCTAACTTGAAACAATATCTAAATTTATTGATATCAATAGTTATATCAATGCGTGATCAACTTGTATGCAAAACGCGTGGTGATAAAACTCTCTATGGCCCATCGATCTTGTTTTTTTCATCAACATCTTTTTCACTCCTTTCTTTACATCACCCTTGATTGTTCAAGGATACATCGAGTCATTTGATTAATCAAATGAATCAAGTATCTAATTGGTAACCCAGTAAATTTATCCCTTTAATAATGGAAATATAAGTGGAACTTTTAGCTGCTGTTAATAACGTGGTGATAAATACTGAATAAAGAAGTCAATGTTTGACACAAATTGCGATTCTTATTGAAAGTTATTGCATTTTCTCATTTATTATTAAACTATTAGACAATGAGTTGGATACTCGATTTGAAATGAGCTAATTGATTGCATGCAAAATAAGTGTTGGCCGAATGAATAATGTTTGGATGGAAAAGTTTTGTAAGAAAACTGAGAAATGACAAATGTAACTAAATATTGAATTATCTAGTTGAGCTAATCAGAACTGTCTAACTGTCTAACTGTAGAAACAATGAGTAAGCTTGCAAAAAATTCAAAGGGAATTATAACGATAAACACAATTCTTTTCTCATTTGGTTTACGCAGATGACGAATAGTTTGTGATTTTTGTTTGCACTACTAGCCCATTCTGCTAATGCATGTGTTGAATTATCAGGATAATTCTGTGAATCATTAATGATTTTATCTCGACATTGAAAATTGATTTTTGTTTCTCAACAAATTGTCTCAATTGAACAATGAAACTGTGATTGTGGGTAGAGAACGGAATCTAAAGGGAAATTCAAGCAGTATTCATCAGGTAAAGGTATCACCTGATTTTGATTCTGCTTGTTTTTCACAGCGTGATTTGTATTAGCTAATGTTTTAAAAAATTCTGATAATGGGTTATTTTTGACATCCTCCTTTGGGAAAATAATAATACATTTAATGTTATCAATGTCTATCAACTCCTCCTCTCTAATAATTAACTATTTTGTTATTTGCAATCAATTGCATAATGAAAAGTTTGCTTGGTATAAAAACGTTTTGTAAACACTATTTTGCTATCAAATATTTGATTCATAACCAAGTTTATATTATCTAAGCAACAAACTAGAACACACAAGGACAATATGGTGAACAATTTGGTTTATTCTTGGATAACATTGATTGTCCTGCTAAGTGATTGTTCACTTGATACAATTCAGTTGATCCAAGGAATGCCGATGCAAGGGAACACCGAGAGTAAAGTTTATGGGGAAAAGTGGAGGCCTCAGTATCACTTTTCACCTCCAACTTCATGGATCAACGATCCAAGTGGATTGACTTATTCCGATGGTAAATACCATTTGTTTTATCAATATCATCCAGACTCACTGGTATGGGGTCCTATGCACTGGGGCCATGCTACATCGAGTGACCTTTTACGGTGGGAAAATGAACCCATTGCCTTGTATCCTGCCCCAGGTGGAGCAGCCTTTTCAGGCTCGGCTGTCATTGACTCAACCAACATAACTGGTCTTCAGGTAAGACTGTCAACTCTCATCTCTCCCTTTACACCAATTGCTTTCACTCTTAAGTGTCTTTTCATCTGAATTGACTTTCAACTTTTCACTTTGAAAGCTCTTGTTTTTACTTGGGTCGCAAGTTTCACTTGTTTGCATTTGTTTATATCGCTTTCGATTATTGCTGCCATTATTATTGTTATGTTTATTTCATTTGATGAAAGCTGCGACTTTTTACCAGGAGCAAGTTCTCATTTTCAGATCATTTTACTTCTCTTTCATTTCTCACCATTTGTCCAAACCCATTCATCTTCCTCTAGCCATAACGGTTCAACCAATATCTATTGATAAAGTTAACCTTTATTGTTTCCTCTTTCCCTTTCACATTCAGAGGCTGCTCAAGATTCACCACTTTTTATCATCCAAACTGGAAAAGTCCAACTGAGAATTGTTATCAATGAACTTTGTTCGCCTATCAGTTTACTTGCTTTTTTTGTTCATTTCCTAATTATGATAATAATTGAACAAATGAAAAGTTCACATTTGTATCCAAGCCATGACTACAGAATCTTTTTCATTTCATTCACTCATTGATGGTCACTTACAATTTTGTTAGTTGATAACATTACCCAAAGTAAAGATAAAGCATTTATTTTTCTGGTCTTTTGATCATCTGAGTTTGATGTGCAAACTGAAAACCAAAGTTTAACGTTTTTTACAAAACTCTTTGTCAGTGAAAAGACAGTCTAAAAATTGTCCTTCATTTGTTCGTACTTTATCCAAACAATTTATTAATCATTTATTTTCCTAATACTTTTCCAGAAAACGGCAAATACAAATGTTTTTGTTGCAATATTTACGCGAAGCAACGACTCATCACCAACTCCACAGACCCAACACTTGGCCTACAGCTACGATGGCATAACATTCAACAATTATGAAAATAACCCAATCCTGGTTGACCCATCAAAACGCGATTTCCGTGATCCTTCTCTCGTTAAATATGGCGATGGTTACATCATGTCACTTGCTGCTGGTGATGCAGCCATGTTTTACAAGTCAACCAACCTAATTGATTGGACCTATTTGAGTAGTTTCGGAGAGAAGCCAAGTCAAGGTTCACACATGGGTTTCTGGGAATGTCCAGCTTTGATACGATTTGAGGTTGATAATTCTGAGCTTTGGGTACTGATAACAAGCATAAATCCAGGAGGTCTAAATGTCGGTTCAGCAACCCAATACTTTGTTGGAACGTTTGATGGAACACGATTCATAAATGAAAATCCGGCCGATCGAGTTCTCTGGTTAGACTACGGCCCAGATTATTATGCTGCTGCTAAGTACACCAACATTCCTTCACCCAAACCAACCATGATTGCATGGATGAGCAACTGGAACTATGCTACCAATCAACCAACCACACCATGGAGAGGACAGATGACTCTACCTCGATCCATGGAATTGGTAAAGACGAGTGATAATGATTATCATGTGCAAACCTTTCCCATCGACGAAGTTAAAAACTTACGAGAATCCTTTTTGTACGAATTCAAAGGTGAACCAGTAACTGAATCATTGGCCATCCAGCACAACTCAGATCGGTACCATTTAGAGTGCAGCTTCAAGTCCAACCGTACAAGTTTCGGTGCCGTCAAAATAAAACTAATGAACCAAGCAAGCGGCGAACAAGTTACTATGAATTTGGACAATCTCCGAATCGAAGTAGATCGAAGTCAATCCGGGCTGACAAACTTTTCTTCCGACTTTACCAAACTAATTCGAGGTTCCCGTATCTTACCCAGTCCTCAACTCTCTGTCGATCTGTTTTTCGATTCGTCAACCGTCGAACTCTTTTACGACAAAGGTCTCTCTTCCTTTACTTACCTTGTCTTTCCAACCCAACCCTATGATCTTATCTCAATTGAATGCACCGATTGTACAATAAGTTCATTAAGCATGTACCAAATGAAGTCCATTTGGAAAAATGATTCCTGAAAAGGAAAAAAGTTCCTAATGAACATAACTTTTTTTGTGAGTAAAAGTGGAGTAAATTTTGACTCACAAAATTGTTGAATCACAATGTAAATAAATTTTCATGCTAAGGGGGGATAACTAAAAAATGAGACAAAATTTAAACAAATTTAAGGTTTATTTTATCAAATTTAGTTTCAATTTGATTATTGAGAATTATTAATTATTATTAGGCTGAACTAGTCCATAATTTTGACCTCAATCCTATTTATTGAACGTTTGAAGTACGCGGTGTAAATGTTTCGCAGTAAATTTCATGGCTTAAAATAAAATTGGCACCAGCTTTAAATCCTTTTAATTAACGAACTAATTTGAATTGAACATTGTTGTTGCGTGAAAATAAAAGAGGATAATATTTGCAATAATCGGAGGGAATTTTAATAATTTTCCCGATTCATGAAAGTTGATCAATTTTTCGGTGAAAATGCAAAATTGGTTTACTTTTCTGACAATCTTGGAAGATGGAAAAGATGATTTTTTCGCCAGACCAAATGATAAACTGGTTCACTGGTTGGCAAAAAGTTGTATCAAATTGCAGAAACGTTTAAAACTCGCATCTATCAAGTGATTAAATCGAATCGCAAAATTTTAGCAAACTCTTCTCGATTCATTTGCTCCTGATTACTTCTGAATACTTGTTGAACAGGAAACTGTTTGCCATTTTTGCCTCTCTAGAAATGAATAGCTTCAATTACTTAATGGTAAGTAGACATTGAGCTGCATTTATTGTAATTTCGTTCAATATTTCATGTCAATATCCTTATTTCCATAGGTGTTCATCGAAATGGCAGCTCATTTAATGCTTGTCATTGTCAATGCAAATCGCAAGTGCTGTTAGATGTTTAAAGTGAACGGTAAAGATATGCGAGATCGAAAAAACACGATTGATGCACTTCTAATTGAAAATTGATTTACTTTAAAATCCAAATTCAAATTATCTCTTGTTTTGCAGTAAATCAGGATAGACTAAAAAATCGCAATTACAAATGCGCAGTAGAATTGTGAAATTCATAATCACTGTAAAAATAATGTATTAATAATATATTCTAATATATTGTCAATCAATGAATAGCCATGAATAACTCATTAACAGCGCTTATACTTTGGTACTTTTTTGAATCGGTTTGATAAGAAAAGGTAAGTTTATTCAATATTTTAATCATAAAATTTCTTTATAAACCAATTTAGTAGTATAAAAATGGCGTCTTTCAAGCCACTTTGTAATATGTAAATGAAGGGGCGGCGCAAGGGGGAAAAATCGATGAATTGAAGAAGGGGAAGCAAGAGGGGAGAAATTCTAATAGCGATGTGAAGGTGAAAATAGGCGGTGCGAAGGGGAAATTGTAATATGTAGTCGACAGGAAAGAAAATATTGATAATTAAAAGCTGATTCTTTCATTAAGAAAGTCATTTTGTTGTTAACCAGAGCAAGAGTTGTTTGCAAGATAAAAATGATAATGGAGAGTAAATGAGTGATTAGAGTGGTAATTTGCTTTTTGCTGATCATTATCATTGTATCAATTCTCAAGACAATCTGTATAGAAAACATTAAGATGAATGATTTGAAACTAGCATGATGTAAAATATATCAATATACTTTTAATTCAATGCAAGTAAAATGTATTAATTGATTACAGTCAGTTGATGAATTGTAAGCGAACAATTCTCAATATGCTTGCTCTACATAATGGACATCTATTTACATTTATAGCGCAAGTGTAACAAGCCACAGCATGATCACATGGACAAAAAACTGTGCCAACTTCATTTTCCAAGCAGACTTTGCATGTATATCTTTCCAGTTTTCAGTTGGCAATGGTGGTGGATTGAATGGTCTTGGATGTAGATAATGTGTTGTCCTCGCTTCTACATATAAAACACCTCTCATTAGATAAATGTTGGCACATAATGGTGAAGCATTCACATGTTCAATACATGGATCATCATCATTGGACCAAGAAAAAGCAGTTAATCCACAATGAAAACAAACTGCAACTTCCGTTCGCCCTATTGATTGGAAATTAAATGGAAAAAATGATAAGATGGAATAAAAAAATCATAACTTGACTGTGAAGACATTACCGTTGTATAAAAATCCAGCTTCTGTAAGTGCAGTAGGAGACTGATTATTTTCTTGAGGCCAATTAGAGAATTAATCCAAGCGAAATTGTAAAGAGACATATTCAGGCATAATCGGGGTAATTCGCTTGAATCTTCTAGAGGTGATTCTATTTCGATATGTTGGAAACCTACGCTGAAAATCAAATCTAAGTTTCATGTCTCTAAACTCATTCAGCATTCTTGGGATGTCCAAATTTTCTACCTGAAGACAAATATAATCGCCTAAATAAGCACATGACCGTAATATCACACACAGATATATATACATTTTGTTTTTATAGTTATATTTTCAGAAAAGAGTTGTGAAAATTGTATCTCTCTCTCCATATTGTATTGATTGTGAATTATAATTACAATTTACTGTGAGATTCATTTTTGCAAAACACAAACAAACTTAGTTGCAATCCTTAGCTGACCAATAACAACATAAAGTTTCTTATAGTCATCATCTCATCAACTTTCTCATTGTGTTGTAAGCTTTACTTATCAAGTGAATATGGTTATGAAAATCATCGATGAAACTCACTTCGAAAATGACAAAAAGGTAAATTTTTACAAATTCTATTGTTAAGTTTCCTAAAACTCATTTTTTTATGTTTTGTTTTCTTGTTTGTGTTTTCAGCAAGCGATTTAAGTTGTGTGGGTCTTAATCAAGACTTATAACCAAGTTAAAAGATATTCATGGTAGATTGCAAAATACAACTAAAGGATGTAGAAACAACATCTTCAACAATGAAGAAATTTTTTATATTTCATCTGCAGTTGATGCTGCAATAAGAGCTCTTGAGTTAACTTTGCAGAGAAAACTGGAAATCAAAGACGAATTAAGTGGTGACCAAAATGATGCTATCAGTAAAGTTAAGCAAATCATTGATGCAAGTCTTGACTGATTTGGAGGATTTCATCATTAAACATAAGTTTTTTCTCTATTTTGATTCCTTTTTCATTTACCTTGATTGTCTGAAGCAGCTGATTTTTTTCTTTAATAAACCATTAAAACTGCACAAATCAATCTTTGTATAACTTTATCTGACGATTTTTCCCCCTCGCGACGCCCCTTCATTTGCATATTAAAAAGTGGCTTTTTAAACTACTGATGTTAACTGTCTTGTTGTAAGAATGATGATTTCGATTTGGTAGTTGAATATGTAAATTTAAATCGAATCAAACACGGGATAGCGCAAACACAGAGTTGACCGTTAGAGAAAACAGGCTCTGGTAAATATAAGCCAACTTTCTCTAAAGTCTGGCCTAGAGATTTATTGATTGTGATTGCAAAGGCTAACTTGATTTGAAATTGTCTTCGCTTCATTTTGAATGGAAGTTTCGTGTCCGATGGTGTTAAATCAATCCTCGGTAAATGGACAATACACCCACTGTTTGTTTCGGTTATTATCTTGAATTTAATTGAATTCTGGTGCATTTCTTCAACTGAAAGTCGAACGTCATTTGTTAGGCCAGTTTTTATGTTGACAATACGCAGTAACATCACTATTGCTACCTTTTTTGTTTCAATTTAAGTGGAGGAAGCCCAGAAAAATTTGTCCGTTGTGTATCGTGCAAGCAGACTCTAATTGTTCATCAACTATGGAGTTTGTGATGAAATAAATTCTTTCCTTTCCTTCAATGATGTCAATTATCCTCTCATTGATTTCGACACAATGGATATTTTTTGGACATAAAATGGCTGTATTCGCAAAAAATTGTGGACCACGTGAAAGTGAATTCGCATTCCCCAAAAATTTTGGAAATGATGTCGGTATCAGACTCAATCATGCACTGCTGCGGGATTGCGATGATATTAGTAAGTGGCAAAACAGGATAAGTTCCAGCTCAACTTTTCCACCATGGCTTACAACGGGTAAAGTTTGACGGAAGTCACCTTCAAACACAAAAACCTTTCCTCCAAAAGGCTGATGCACTTGAGTTACATCTCTCAACAACGATGCTTAAAGCGTTGCTGGCAATCATTGATGCTTCATCCCAAATGAAATTCCCAGTTTTTTTTTATAAATCAGCCTCGACACTCTGAACCGTGATCGCGGAAACAGAACAATCTGTAAAACCTAATAACAATCCGAGTCATGAGTGTGCTGTTCTTCCATTTCGCAAAAGAATAGCAACCATACCAGTCCATGCTACTGGTAAAACTATTCAATCGCGAATTATAAGAAAATTTATCAGGCAGTTATAAATACATGTTTTTCCAGTTCCTTCAGGACCATCAATGAAAAAAACATTATTGAAGGGTTCAGTATTTTTCACAGCTGTACGGATTGTATCAATAATATATTTTTGCTCAGCTGTTGCTTGTTCATATGCGTTTCGGAAAAGCTGTTCGCATTCCCTTCGCTGTGGTGTATCAATATTAGGATGAATCGGAACTTGGAAAACCAACTTACAAGGGATGCATGGTCGGTCCTACGATCAAATTTTTTTCGCAATATGTTTTTTCGAATGCTCTAAGCAATACAACCTCGAGTGCGCATGCTCTGATTTCGGAAATTTTTCATTTCAGAAATATAGCTAATTAAAAGTTTTTCTTATCTTTAGTATACAATTGGATTTGATATTATTTTCTTCATTTTTTTTGAGTTTTTTTGTTTTTTTTTGTTTCCAATATGGAATCAAACCCATTTAATGTTGTTCATAAAATTCAAGAATTGATCGAAGTGAAAATTTCGACATCAATCAACATGAAACAACAACAGAGGAGAACATTTTTGCCATAGTACTTTTTGAGCAAATAAAAGCCAAGATGAATTCAACATTGGAAATCGACGATGAGATTTCTCTAGTTTACGATCTTTCCCTTGGCGATGAAGATGAAGAAATGGAGTCAGCTGCATCGCAGTATTCATCGAGTTCTTCGAGCTCCCAACAAACTTCTTCTAGCAGTCAGGAATCTGAAGGTGGCCCTGT